GCCCCCAGGGTCGGTGATTCCACCACCTCCCTGGGCAGTCCATTCCAGTGCCTGACCACCCTTTCTGAAAAGTAATACTTCCTCATGTCCAGCCTGAATCTCCTCTGCCGTAGCTTGAAACCATTCCCCCTGGTCCTATCACTAATGACACGAGAGAAGAGGCCGACCCCCAGCTCACTACAACCTCCCTTCAGGAAGTTATAGAGAGCAATAAGGTCTCCCCTGAGCCTCCTCTTCTCCAGGCTGAACATTCCCAGCTCCTTCAGCCTCTCCTCATATGGCCTGTGTTCCAGACCCCTCACCAGCTTTGTTGCCCTTCTTTGAACACGTTCCAGGGCCTCAATATCTTTCTTGCAGTGAGGGGCCCAAAACTGGACACAGTACTCGAGGTGCGGCCTCACGAGTGCTGAATATAGGGGAACAATCACCTCTCTGCTCCTGCTTGCAACACTGTTTCTGATGCAAGCCAGGATGCCATTGGCCTTCTTGGCCACCTGGGCACACTGTCGGCTCATGTTCAGCCGAGCATCAATCAATACCCCCAGGTCCATTTCCTCTACGCAGTCCTCCAGCCACACCGCCCCAAGCCTGTAGCGTCGCCTGGGGTTGTTGTGGCCGAAGTGCAGGACCCGGCATTTGGCCTTGTTGAAACTCATCCCATTGGCTCCAGCCCAGCTCTCCAGCCTGTCCAGATCCCTCTGTAGGGCCTCGCTACCCCCAGGCAGATCCACACTTCCAGCCAATTTGGTGTCATCTGCGAATTTACTGAGGGTGCACTCGATGCCCTCATCGAGGTCATCAATAAAGATATTGAAGAGGACAGGCCCCAGCACCGACCCCTGCGGAACACCACTCACGACCGGTCGCCAGCTGGATTTAACTCCATTCACCACCACATGATGGTGATGCAGAAGTAACAGTTTAAAATTTTAAATCATATCTTTTTAAGATTCTATTAAAGCACAATTGTCGCAATGTGAGAAAAAGCTCATTAATTCCTTATAACGTGCATTGCAGATGCTAGATATGACTGTAGTGGCTTCTCCTGGCTTTAAATGTCTGTTGATCTAAAACAAGAGGAACTATACCATCCTTATTGTTCTCAGTGTGCAAAGTTCTTGACTGCAAACAAGTGAGGCAGCATGTTTTCTGAGTACATCTAACATTCCAGTGGAAAATACTAGCAGCTTGAGAGGTACGATCTGGGCTAACGTTAGCATTCCACCAGAAAAAAAAGGAATATAAGATGACAGCTTCAAAATCCACATCAGCATTTGCCTGTACCAGAAACAATCTGTTGTGGTGTGACCTCATGGCAGCTATTGTTACTGCTTGAATTGTTTGCTGATATAAAAGAAAATTCAAACAATCCATGGCAATCCTTAAATACCCTTAATTTAAAAGAATAGCCTGGCAACAAATGAGGCTGTATGCCACAATGTCAGGCCAGTTCAGCCGAAAGAAAACGCTTATTCCTTTCTGACAATGTCTCCAGTCTGTGGTACTGCATTCAAGAAGGCACGTTCTACAAAGCATAATTAGAAAAAAAAGAAAAAAAAAAACACTAATAATAATAATAGTAATAAAACTTATTCTTTTCTTTGATGGCATGTGAAGCTGTGAGTGAAAGCACAGTCTGCATAACTGAATTTCAGCGAGAGTAAAAGAAAACCCTTGGGATAAACAGCTGAAATTGTCCCCCATATTATGAAAGCTATCACACTTACCTCCCACTGGTAGGAAAGAGCGAGCCCTGTACTCAGTTTTTCAAGAGTTCCTCATTACTGTGAAGTCCAAAACACGGAAACTCATAATGGACTATGCTGAATTTGGTGCCTAGGCACAGAAAAAGGACAAGAACACCAGTACACTCCTTTGTCTAAAGTTTATGACTGGCTGATGGTGAATCCTGCTCCAGAACATCCAGACTTCTAACCAAGCCCTTGTTCACTAGATAAGATCTGCCATTCTGAGCAGCTGAGCTGTTGATTTTCAGAATAAACCTTTTGGCTTGTACTTTTGAGTTCCTCTTTAAGTCCTTTAGTTACAAAAGTATGCAGGGAGGAAAAAAGAGAATGTGGTCTTCAAAGAAAGAGAGGCAATGTTTTGATATGGAGCTGAGTCCTAAAGTCTAGTGTGGGACTCTAGAACTTGGTCAAGTAAGTGGTCAAATTGATTTCAAGTGCCTGGGGATTCTCTACTGCAATCTAGCACAGGAGCACCTTTGACGTATTTTATAGCTGTTCCTATTTTCGTATTGAACCACCAGATTCTGCCAGAAAAAAAATAAAAAGGAGTACTAGGTTTTTTTTTTGTTTGTTTTGTTTTGTTTTTTGTTTTTTGCTTTTTCCCTTTTCTCCCTGCAATTTTCTCCCTAGAATAAAATAATTCCTTTTCCTTTCTCAGAACTATTTCTGAATATTTTTTGCTCCCTGTGGGTACTTTTTTTCATCTCTATAAAAAGAGACAAAAAGGCACTTACTGTGCTCATCCTAGGAATGGCTGAGAGCCAGCTTAACAGCAGACAACATCTCATAAAGATATCAGTAGGTAACGTGATTTACTTTGGCAAAGCAATAGCATTTTTGAAGCATGTAACCTGTGGGATTGTAAAGTTGCATTACTGAGGGAGGCATCAACTCTTACTGGATGCAGCAATTAGGTTTATTCCTTTATCACAGGAATTTCTGTTATGTTTCATCTCTGAGTGTAAACAGATATTCATTTCAGAGCTTTTAAGCTAAATACAGCTGTCAGGATTCCTTTGTAACTTGCATATATCTGATCTGTACTCAGCTGTGAAAGGACCATTCTTAACACTGTGGGCAGGTAGCAAATATATTAGGCAGAAAAAAACTGGAAAACTACACTGGAGGTGTAGAGGTTTCCTTGATATGGTGCAGCAGGCTGTGTGTGAAAAAATGTGAATAATAGAAATTATTGCATGAAGCCAAGCAATCAAGAGAATTGCAAAAGAACAGCCTAATATCACTAGGAGGTCTGATTTGAAATATGGTATTAGCAGACAAAAATTCTGCCTTTAGACAACTCAGTAGAACCTCCTGCTTACGTAAGACATAATGCATAAACAATTACAACATTAATAGTAAATAGTAATTTATATAACTCCAATAACTTTTAGTTTCCCATTAGTCATATTAAAGTTTGTTTCCACTGGGAGTCTAATACAAACTGTGTTCAGAGATCATAGAATGGCCTGAGTTGAAAAGGACCATAATGATCACCCAGTTTCAACCCCCCTGCAATGTGCAGAGTCACCAACCTTAGACCAGGCTGCCCAGAGGTATGTGTACATGGTCATACTTCTATTTCTATATTCCATCTAACAAGATTTTTATCACATATCAGTCTCATTGTACATAATAAACATGATAGTAGTGAATTCAAAAACATATATACAGCTGAACCCCATATGGTAGATGTCATAAACCATCAAAAGGCAGTTAAGTCTTTCTTCTTAATTTTATGTTTATATTTTATATATAAATATTATATAAATAAATATTTAATATTATGTTTATACGGTAATTTTATAGTTATTTTATCCTGTATATGTACTATCTTTATTTAATTTACAGAAAACTACAACAGAAGAATGAGTATGCTTAGATACAACCACTCAAGCATACCAGTTTTCTATACCTCATTTTAATCTCTGACACAAAACTGTCAAACAGTCCCAATACGTGTAAACTCTCTCTGTGAAGATTAGTGATTTGGCAAATGCCACAGGAAAAAAAATATATATAAAACTCGTATGGAATTAAAAATACAAGGAAAAGGATTTTAGTTCATGTAATGACATGCACAATGGCAACATAATATTATTTCACAAAACAAAGTTACAGAGTACAGGAGGTCATTCCCTGTAAAGACACTTTAATCATGCTGTGGCCAAATGATTCTTAGCTGTAATCAACTAAAAAGAATAAAGTGAATTTACTTAGAGAATGGCAAACATATCTGAATTTTTCTCAAAATATATCAGTAGTAGATCAGGAATTTTGTTATAATTAACTTAGTCTCTGTTTCTTTGGCTTTTGTTTTGTTTTTAATAATCATTAACAAATCTTCTGGCAATTAACTATTGAACCCTGGAATTTGTCTTGTTTATACAAAGCTCTATTTTAAAATCCCAAATCACAAAGCCACAAAAGAGTTGTTGGAATTTCTATATTTGAGAACTATTATGTTACTCTCAGAAACTGACTGTGCCTGATAAAAGAAGCATGCATTACTCATGTAAGGTGTTAGAAAAATGGGGAAAAAATAATCTGATCGCCGTAATTTTTTCAAGGATAGAAACTGAATACTACTTGCCAACATTCTGGAAGAGCAGCACTCTGGAAAACACACAAACAAATTGATTGCAGTTCTGCCTTACGTAATATTCAAACTATACTGCAGCAGTCTTAGAATCATAGAATATCCTGAGTTGGAATGGACCCACAAGGATCGAGACCAGCTCCTGGCTTCACACAGGACCACTCAAAATTCAAAGTCTAATGTCTGGGAGTGTTGTCTAAACACTCTTTGAACTCCAGCAGCCTAGGGCCATGACCTGGGCAGCCTCTTCCATGCCCACCACTCTTTGGTGAAGAACATTTTTGTAATACCCAACTTGACCCTTTCCTGATGCAGCTCCATGGCAATCCAATAGAATTCTTAACTTTATATCTGGGGTCTTTAAGTTCTCCCATTTCACTGTGAGGCTACTATATTAACTGCAGTGATACTATACTGTAAAATCCAAGGATCCAACCCCACACACCAGAGATCCTCACCAAAGGATGAGAGTAACTGCTCCTGATTTCAGTGGTAAGTTCCATCCTGCGACGGATTAACAAGATGAGGAGAATCTCTTGCACAGGAGATCCCTTCCAGAGCTGCACCAAGCATGTGTGGTTTGTGACTGCACTTACCTTCTCAGCGCCCTAACCTCATTTAGTCACTGCTTTCACTGAATTACCACTAGGGAGGTAACTTGGAAATGTGTCCCGTTTTATTTTAACTGAAAAGCATTCATTATACAGTGCAAACAGTTCTTTGGTAAATTTACTGATTAAAATAAAAACAACAAAGACTTTGTTTAGGTAATATTAAAAAAGAAAATAAATACATAAAATTTGCAACATAGTACAGCAATATTCTCACAGTGGATACTGAGGAAATGGTCATCTAGGCATTGGCCATTGTTTCAGAAACATTAAAATCAATGCTGCAGTAAAACTTAATTAATACAATCCATAACTGATTACACTTTAAACTGTGGATAAAGACCTGTTTTTCCTGAATAGTTTATCATTAGACGGATAGTGGAAAATAACTCAATATTACACTTAAACATATCCAGACTCCTAAATCCATTTTATATAGCATATGAATAAAGAATGAACAATGGGAAAAAAAAAAAAAAAAAAAAAAAAAAACAACAAACCTCCCTCTTTATTCTGGAGGCTGGATAAAACAAACTATCAGATATATGGTACTATTTTATATTGTATAAATGGAAACTCTCTTTTCCTATAAGCAGAAACTCAGAGAAAGTTTATTTAATATAAAACTGGAATATAAGAAAATAACCAGCTGAATGTATTACTGATTTGGACAACTGTTTAGACAGATAAATTATATTTGGTTCAGCTCTGCAACCGTTCCTCTTTAAGGAATTCCTGCTATAGGTCAATGGGAGTTCCATCCAAGTTGAACTTACAGGATGAGACACGTGGTTTGGACTTTCAACAAAATACCAGAGTATCAAAGAAATACAAGAATGACAGCCTCTAGAAACCACATGATACTCAAACATGCTCACCACACACCATTTCTATAAGTATTAAAATAGAAAATTACATAAATCAAAATACTGTATATAATATCAATTAAAATATTCTCAAAAAATATAAATTGCAGTTCCATGTGTACCCTCTACCACACAGCTTTGACACACCACTCACATGTACATATTGCTCTTACTATAGTTGAAACATGTTTCTGTAGCAAGCTCCAAAGATACACCAGAGTTTGAGAGTGTGTCATGGTATCTGATTATCAAACTAAAAATTATTAATGCTAGTAATCACAGAAATTATGTGCCAAAATATTATAGTGGAACCCATACTGATGAGTTTGGTTAATTATTACACAGTTATTTGATTTACCATGCAGTAATTAAGAATTCAGTTTGTTTGTATAATCTGAAACGTTAGGATGAAAATGTTTAATTTTGTGCAGTTTTTTGATTCCCAAATATCTAAATTTGAGCAACAAATTCAGAAGTCAGTGAAATGCATAACTAAAGAAGAATTCAATTCTAAAATATTAATCAGTTAGAGAGAGAATCAATTCTGAATAAACAAGCAAACAAACAAACAAACAAAAAAAACCACAAACCTGTAAAATGAGGTATGATAGTTGTACTTCACTGAATATAATATATAACTCCTGGTCAAAAATATGCGATTTGTATTCTAAAAAGTACATGACTTTGAAATGCTAGTGTAGACATATACTCTCTAATGTTAAACATTTATTAAATGGGAAATAAAGTCCATTGGCAGACAATTTTAACATGAATAATAAAAATATTGAGGTAAAAATATATATGCATTAGATGAAATTGGAAAGAAAAAAAAAAAAAACCATAAAAAAAAATCAAATACCTTGTCAGAAAAAGTAGTCAATCCACAATTAATCACGATGCTTGATTTTGATTGTTCTTTTTCTCAACAAACAGTGCCACAATATAATCAGGAACATATGTCTATTGACAATATGCGCAATGACTCAGTAGGTATCTTTGTATACAAATTGGCATGTGACATGGTTTCACATTCTCATTACAGGGCCATGTGTTTGGGGGAACCCATCCAAGATCAAAAGAAGCATGCTTAAAAACTGGAGTGGATGGTCATGTTACAGTGATTTAAAATAAATGAAACAACAAAAAAAAAAGTTGCCAAGCAATTACATATGTTTTGACAAAAAATGATTATGTTCATTTTAAGATCAAACACTACTCTGTCATGTATGTTTTGCTATAATGAGGAACACTGTCAATTACTCCTGTAATAAACATTCAATTGCTTTCTCTATCTTCCAATTACATTTATTCATATTTCCCTCATTTCCCAATTAATTTTAGCCTTTTTGCAAATTTTGCAAATACCAATTAATTTTGCTCCTTGAATTAACATGAGGATGTTGAAAGGCGCACTCTGGTTTTCTTTACTTCCTTGGTAGTCCATGCACAGAAGTGATTCAACAGCATTTCCATGCATAGATGTGTTGCGGAAATGGGCCCTCCACATCACAGATGGGTACAGTGAATGACCTTTTGTTTTCCCATCATTTATGAAGTAATAACAAAGAGCTAAATTTCAAGTCAGACTGGGACTGAAAATGGAGAGTAACTGTCAACATTGCTAATCACAGATTGGAAAGAAAACTTCTCATTTTAAGAGCAAGTCTTAAGCCCAGTCATTTTAGATACCTAAACTGCCTGACAGAGTTCTTTTTAAAGTAGCACCAGTTTGAAATTTGTCTAACCTGAGAAGTTTAACACACAATTAAGATTGACCTGTTTGCTAGTTTCCCTTTTGTTAATTTTGCATTGTGATTACCTTCATGGGCAGAAAATACGATATATTATGTTATACTCTTACAGCACCATTAGAATGTTGTAAATCTTGATTTCTTGCTGTTTTAAGCCTGTAGTTACCTGTTTTTGCCATCAGCAGGCATTGATATGATTTGAAGAGTATGCACCCTAAAATCTATAAAAGAAGACTTATGGCTTCTTTTTATTAATACTTTCTTTGACACAGACTGGACAGCAATCTCCTTTAGTCTTCATAGGGGCTTCACAGTCAACTGGCGGGCATGACTCCACGAAACAGGTAATCTGACCAACCTGCATCAGGAAAGAAGGAACAAAGCCAGACCATATTTAGCTACATTTTCCAGGCAAGAAATATTGTTTTCACATTATCATACGTAGCTGAAACCTCTCTAAGATTTCAGTTGTTACAATTAACTTTGTCTACTTTGTTTCATTACTGAAATTGATATTGACAAGGCTCTTTGTATATTAACTTCCTTAATGCTGTAGTATAATGTTTTATTTAATGATCAGGCATGAAACTAGGATGGTAAGTACCCACATATTTCTTTGAATGTATTTTTTAAAATTCTGCTGTGATAAAAGAAAATGAAAATTTAGCAATAAGCTATATGAGCCTTTGATTTTCAATGATTTTAATAGAATTTTTCAAAAGGTCTCTCATTTTGCTGTTAATTATCAGGGGTAGAGAAATGGAAACAGAATCCCATTTTGCACAAAATAACTGAAGATCCATTAAAAAAAAAGAAGTATTAGAAACTATTACCCAGTAATTACCAAGCATAAAACTGGAGATGCTGACTTAGAAGTTGAACCTAATATATTTTCTATCACAAAATGGATTTCCAAGTACTTACTTTGCATTCACACACAGTACATGGGTCCCTTTTCCAGGTTTCATTGCTGGAATATGATTTACCCTTTTCATCAGTGCAATCAGTTTTACTGAGGCGTGATTCAAGTTTTTTTATCTGAAAATATTTAAGAAGTTAGTAACTGAATAAAAGGGAAGTTTTAAAATTCCTAAGATATTCTCTCTTTTCTCTTATGCTACGCAGATCATGATAAATACTTGTCTGGGTTTACTTCTGGCTACTTAGATTTTAGAATGCTTAAAAAATTGGATATGTAATGAATATTGATAGCCATTCAAAAACTAAAAATCAAATAATAAAGGATACATCTTTCCTATAATTGGAATATTCATCTTGCAGAGATAAACAAACTATATCTAACATTTACATGGGAAGACAAATACAAACTTTCCAAAATGTGTGAGTAAAAAAGAGGTAAAAAAAAAAAAAGACAAAAACCAAAACCTCAATTAAATATGTTAACTTGAATTGGACTACTTTATCCATATTTTTTCCTTAATTATGAAAAAAAAAACATTTTATATCATTAGTGTATCTTGCTGGATGTGTGTCTCTTGGGAACAGTAAATAGAAATGCACAAGCTTTTGACAATTTTTACATCCAAACAGATAGTAACGTAACAAACTCTTAGCTTGGACTACCATAGTATTACCATTGTCAGATTAGCAGCGTGAGTGAGTGCAATGATTAAATTATACCACTAAACATGGAACTAAACCACAATGTAAATAAACGTACGATGCTATTTGTAGATTACATAAAAAAGTTACGCTAGAAGAATTTACTAGGCAAAATCTTTGGTTTATTTTGATTAATCTGCCCTCCATAGTAAATATTTTTGAAACTGAACTTCATTATCGCTAAGTTTTTCTGAATAATGTCACACTGTAAAAGCCTTCTTAAAGTAATCCTACTTTTTACTTAGATTCTACATATTTTAGATAAGATCTTTTTTTTTATAACTCCACAGACAAATTTTTAGAGAAAGACTAATTGTAGATTGAAAAGTTAAGAAGATCTACTTTCAAAATATTTCAATATGCTTTCAAAAGAACATAGAAATAAAGAATAATAACACACCATGTTCTGTGTTGTTTTTTGTTTGAGATATTATGTGGTGGTTTTTTGCTGCAGAGGATGTCTAAATATTAAAAACATAAGAGGAGTGATGTTAGGAGAACATTATAAATTAAAACTGCAATTAGAAACTATCCATTATAGGATCTTACCTGGCTTCTGAGGCTTGAAATAGTTTTTTGCATTTCCAAAACAAATTCTTTGAAGTCATTCACTATGGGCATATTTGCATTTTCATCAGATGCTGAGGTGGCATTACGAAAATATTTACTCTGTTTCACAGAACTGCAAGAAATTGAATGCCATGTCAGGACATTTATCTAGCTTTTATTTAGCTAAATGTTTCAGAACACTTAGCAAAAAAGTACAAGAACACCAATCAAGAAGAATGGGTAGTTGGCTATATGAAACACAATACTACACCAGACTGGTACAGAACACAGCCTCAGATCAGGTGAGTTATAGATTACTACTATCACTAGTGACAGTGAATTCTTTCCACTGAGAAGAATAATGTATATATTTCTTGCAGAGGGAAACAAAGTTTTAATAATTGACAGTGTAGAGTATCGCTTTAAACTGATTGGGAAAAGAATCAAGAAAACTCCTGAATTTAAATATGAAAGCCAAGAAATTTAAAATAAGCCTTAAAAACTGTAATTGAAAACATGATATTCACCTTTCACATTCAGATTCATAGTTTTTTCTTCTAAAGAATCATTAGCAAACAATCTATTTAAAGAAATTTCTTTAAAAAGGAAGAGGCTTCATAAACAAATGAGAACAAATGCTTTTATATATAGACATATTCTTCTGTCCAATTTAATTTACATTTGAGGTCAGTGCTATTTATCATACACAGTATCTGGAGTCTTTGTCTATTGCATTTTCCAGCTGATATCCGGTAAGAGTCACACAACACTAAACTGTGTTTATCAACTCACTCTGGTGATGGAAAAATTGTACATAATCATCAAAGGAGTTGTCAGTAATACATAAGACCTTGTTTGGCAAGACTTAAAAAGTAATATATTCAAAACTAGGAAAAAACAAATTCTTAAGTCACTTATTTCATTAGTATCTTTCAATCCATACAAGTCTTCCTATTCTGTTACCATGTCTTTTTTCAGAGCTAAGGACTACACAGAAAATGGATAGGAAAAATACTCTCTTCAGTACTATGACTCACAATTTATAATCTTTCAGTATAAATTAAAACAGTATTTATTTGCAAGTGTTCAACCTACTTAGTTTCCCATACTTTTTTAGTCTAAATTAAAGAAAAAGAAATCAGAACAACATAATATGCCAAAATTCAAGTGAACAAGCTGTTACTTTCTAAGTAAATGTTTAATCTTCTCCACCTGCTTGTTATAGAAGATGAGAAGGAGGAAAAAAAAAAAAACAGACAAATATCTTTTCACCATTTAAATTAATCTAAATGTAATTTAAATAAAACAACGAGCATGAGAATTGATAGGAATGATAGAAGAATTTTGTTGCTTTGGCTCTATTTACACTCTAAACAAAGTATTGTAAATTTACTACATATATTGTAGTCCTAATTAGTACTCAACTACTGCAGATCTTTGAGTTTCATCTCTGAAAAACTGTAACATCTTATTAACTAGAACAAGATGCTTCTCAGATACATGTTTATCTTTCCTTACTTTCCTTTCTTTGAGTGGGTAGACTCTGGAAAAATGTGAACTAATGTTCTTTTAAGTCAAGCAGATAATTTTATTTGCTAAAAGAACACACATTATATGGAAAAAGCAAAGGTTGTTTAGTCAAGGAAGAGAGAGAGAGTGAAGGATTTTAAGCTATATTCTTTATAAAATATTACACACACACACACACAAAAAAAAAAAAAAAAAAAAAGTTTGAACAGAATTCATTTCCTTGCACTAATTCATAGATTCCCTGGAAACTGTAGGGACATGTGAAGATTATTTCTTACTGACCTTCAGACCTACTTCCTTGATGAAGTATTTTGAGGATTATGGGGTTATAAACAACACTATCTCTCTGTAAAACTTCTGTCCTCCTGTGCCCTGCTATCAGGTACGGAAACAATCTCTATCATCACCACACATTTTTTTTGCTACCAACAATTGGCTCCATCCTATTTCTACAGGACAACCTGGCAGCTCTGAGGAGGAAAGGAAGTCATTTAGTTTGGTTCCTGCAGGCACAGCAGGGCTGTGGGATTCCAAATCCCCCAAACCGCCCTTTATTATTGACTTATCTTCCTGAAAAGCACAGGAAGAACAGAAGTACTATACTGAGTCACACACAAAGGGTCTTACGCAAATTCGAGTGTGAAAAGAAGTGATTTACTGCTATGGTTATGCAGAAGTGTCAGAATGAAATATATCAGTGACAAACTTGAGAAAGCAGAGACTGGAAAAAAGAGTTATATGCCCTTACAAAGGAATCCTTCAGTTTCATTCTATTTTGAAAACAATTGCTTTTCCATATTTCTTTAAAAATAAAAAATCTCACCTTACTGTTTTGGACATTTTCATTTTCTTCAAAGGCTTGTCCTCTTGAAAGCTGTAATCAAGAGAACGTCTTCCCCGAAAGTGGTATGAAAATGCATTAAACTGTCCTCTAGTTCTACAATCTGAAATTAGATAACAAATTACACATTACAAACTACACTATCTGCAGTTATAATATTAATATATTTTTACAGTATCTTCTGAATCGTATACACTGACCCATGTGGAATCAGCTTGAATGCAGCTGAAAACCTCTGAGGGATACAGTACTTAAGTTAGCTGGACACAGAGAATTTGATTATTCACAGACCTTTTTTTAATTATTATTGTATGAAATAAATAAGTAAATAATACTTTTCCACAAATATATCATTGCTGCTTTAAATAATCTCTTCATATCCAAAATTTCCACTCTTTTGGTTTTTAGCTGTTTTCTTGTTGGAATAAAGTAGTTACATATGGTGGAAACAGAAAAATAAAAGTGATGTTTCCTCATCTATTCTGTTATTTTTGGCATTTGAAAGAGAATATTTAATTAAATCCTGGAGAACATTTGCGGACTCCTTGCTGGTCAAACAGTCGCATGTTTGGGCATAGGGCTTTCTTAAGGGATTTGAAAGTATCACCAGTCACTCAGACACTAACACATTTTCTATGGTATAGTAGAAGTATCAAGCCTGAGAACAATGATTAAAAAAAAAATAAAGATCTTCTCATAAGAGGATGACTTCACAGGATGAAGTATGTATTTCCAATTGACATTATTTAGCCTTCCAAAAACTGTGAATATTTGGAAAGAGTCCCATAAAGAAAAACAAAACAAAACAGGAACAGCACTTTGGAGAGAATTAGAAAATGAAGTTTTCTTATTTCTGTTCGCAGAGGTTTTAAAAACAAACAGTTGTCATGGGTCAGGCTGCTGCACAAACCAAAAGCACGTTCAGCTCTTAGAAGTAGAGAGTCTGCTAAGAAACCAGAAGGGAAAAGCTGAAAAATGGGATCCATGGATTTATTATCATAGTTAAGTCTGGTATTAGCAGAATGAACCGTGACAGCAACTGAACAAGGGAAGAAGTCATTTTCCCTGATGTCTCTCTTAACTTGCACCACAACAACTCTATTCAAAAGGGTAGTACCATTTTAGAAAATATTTGTTTTGAATTTTGCAGTACCTAGAACAAATACCTAAATACTGAAAGCATTAACACAAATTATTGCACAAGTTTCAAGTTAAGAGTCAAAAAAAGAAAAAAAAAAACATAAAAAACATAAAAAACAATGCTCAGCTTAGCAACCTGATGAACAAATGTAATGTTTTCACTCTCTGAAAACTGAGCAAATAAGACATTGGTTTCTCTGTGATTATACAATTAGTAATCTTGGATTATTTTTATTTGTATTGGACTTTTACTTAAGTAAGACTATTATTATTTTCCTATCTCAAAAGAAAAAAAAAAATATTAATAAAGACAGAGAAAAATAACTGACAAAATAACCACCCTGATTAATTCAAATAATAAATATACTGAATAATGAATAACTAATTTAATCTTAAAATATAAGTCTATGATCTTATTAATTTTCAATTTGAAAGCAGTACCTATAGATTATTCTCAAAGAGTTTTCCACTCAATTTTCCTCCCTTTTTCTTCTTTGCATCTTCTCCCCTTCTTCAGTACATTTATTCCTTTTCTCCTATAATTACAGCAACACCCAAGAACTAGATGGTATCTACTGCCAACATATTGTTCATTTTTCTTGTGCGTTCTGTTGTTTCTCCCACAATCCTCTTCCTGCTCACTCAGAAACTGAGCTCTTTCAGATAGGAACAGACCATTGTGTCTGTAAGATGCTATGCATGAAGACATAGTTGATCACCCTTAAGTGCTTCTGTACTTAGTATGGGCAGAAAAGAGGTCTCATACTGGAGGGTGACTGGACAAAAATCTATTTTTTGTCAGATGAAACTTTTTGTTAAAGCAATATTTTGCCTAAAGTTTTCCTGCATCCCATAGAAATGTTACTCTCGAAAGCAATTTTTGAAAGGATTCTATTCCTTTCCTTTATTTTCTGACTGCTGAAGTCGTCTCCTGTACTATAGAGTTCTCTTCAGTATAATAGCACAATGGCCCATTGTGTTTTTTCAATCACATGCTGGTGCTTTGAATCAAAGCACCAAAATCCTGGGAAAGTTTTTATAACCTTAGACTGGTAAATATAAGAACCATATGTTAGTGGCAGCTTCAAGTACACAGATTTGACATTTCTGTAGTTTTTAAAGGTGCCAGCTTCTCAAAGGAACGACTCCATTTCCTAGTTCCAGTTTCAGGTGTAAGGGAGAAGATTATCATTGCTGAGAAGTGCAGAACAGAATGCACCAGCTTTCAGAAAGCCCCAGTCAAGAGATTTGTATATATACCTGTACATACATGTGTTTGTACCTGTACAACTGTTACATCTGTAACTGTATATATAAAGAAGGTGAATGAAAAAATACCTTAAAAATACATGAGAAAAATCAATCTAAACTTCTGCTTTCTTTCCCATTCCACCTCAAATTTCTCCAAATTAGCTGTATCTATTTGAATTCATTTTCTGTAAAAGAAGCTGAATATCTGATATCTGAACCGAATACTCTTTTCCTCTACAGATAACATTTTCTTCCAGAAGCTGGTTATTGTCATATTGCAAATGTCAAGATAGTTCATCAGTATTTGATAGCTATATACATATCTTCAGAAAGTGCCCTGCTTCCCACAAGGTTTTAAATTGGGACCTGTAACATAAACTGAATGGGAAAAAGAGAAGACATTTAGAAGTATTAAGCCAGCTTACTTCTTAGCAAATCACATTTCAAGATCTGAGTCAAGAAGAATTCATCTGAAAATAGATTAAAAACAACTTGAAAGATCAAGAAAACATGAAGAAAAAGGACACACGATGCAACTACTGCTTCTATTTGATCATACTTCAATTCTCTGAGATTTAAAGTAGTGAATTATGTTGCTGTTACTATAAGCATTTGTACAAACCTAAGAACTTCCAGACATGCCAGTGGGACTAGTAAAAAGGATGGAGAAACCCAGGAAATGGCCAAAATGGAGTTACATCAGGCTGATGGCTCTAGTGGCTCCCTTTTAGGGCCAGTGACCAGTTGTCTTCCATGTTGTCATAAATGACCTGGATGTAGGACTAAGAGATGTTTTGAGTAAGTTTGCTGACAATACTAAGTTGGAAGGAGCTGGCTGTTGACTCCATTGAAGATAGAGAGGCTTTGCAGAGAGATCTGGGCAATCACCAAACACATGAAGTTTAACAAGTACTAGATTCTGCATTTGGAAAGGGGCAACCCTGGCTGTACATACAGACTGGTGGGTGAGGTGCTGGAGAGCAGCCCAGCTGAAAGAGATATGGGAGTCTTGGTCAACAGCAAGTAGAACATGAATCAACAGTGTGTTCAGGCAGCCAGGATGGCCAATTGTATCCCGGAGTGCATCAGGCCCAGCACTGCCACCCGGGCAGCAGAAGAGATTGTTCTGCTCTACACAGCACCAGTATGGCCTCGCCTTGAGTACTGCGCACAGTTCTGGGCACCACAGTGCAAAACAGACATAAAACTCTTAGAGTGTCCGCAAGAAAGCTTTAAGGATAATTAAGAGTCTGGACAGGAAAATATATGAGGAGCAGCTGAAGTCTCTTGGTCTGTTCAGCCTAGAGAAGAGGGGGCTGAGGAGAGATCTCACATCTGTACTTCACCTTGAAGCTCACAGACTAACTCTATTAAAGACAGAAGCTCCAGACATTGTTTGGAAAAAAAAAAAAAATCCAAATAATGTAAAATTAATGATAGCTTGAAGACATTCAACAGCATATTCTGTTTTTGTGAACTAAGCAGCTTTTGGATGGCCAACAGGTAGTTGAAGGAGATCTATTAGGTTCTTGTGGTGAAAGAAAACACCAAAGCAAGACAAATTCTCCAAGTAGAAAGCAGAATTATTTAGAAAGCTATGAAAATTAAAATTATATATCTGAGGACTACAGATATGAAAGAACAAACAGAAAGAGCAGTTGGAACTAAATGAAAGTTTGCAAACTAAGGACCCTAAGTACGGATCTGCCCATTAGACTGTGAAGGGATGAGTGTCTGAGAAAGATAGTAACAATCCATAATTGATGAAAGGCTCTGATTATCTCATTATGCACAGAATCGCCAAGATGCTCACATTAGGATGTTTTTCTAGTAATGCTCCTTCTACAGTAAAAGGGCTAAGATGTAGGCAAATGTAAAAAGTGATAGCAGCCTGAACAGCATCTATTTCCATACTGCCTGCAGTGGAACTTGGAGAGCTCCATAGGTCTTAGCCCTGGATACTCCAACAGAAGTTTAGGCTTAAATACAATAAATCTCAGCCTACTGCTTCCCCCTAGTTTTTTAGTACTATGGAAAGTAATGGCATGAGACTCCTGCTAGTAAAGATGCAGCAATGTCAGAAATTAATGTCTCCTGACTTTTAGTTTAGGAATTACAACTTTATATTAATGACCACAGGTAGAAAAAAATGATACTTTCCTGGTTTGGATGAAACATTTTAATATTTATTTGTTATCATACAGATATGCAGGACTATAATAAACACATTTCAATTCAAACTAATAAGAAGCTCTTAAAATGATCATTAAGAGAAGGTCTTAAAATCTCAGACCCTGGAATTTTATTTAGTAGTCTGGTACAGTCTGAATCTTTATTATGCTGACAGACACTGTCCTTAAACATAAATTTCAATGTAGAAATATCCATTTGGATGTAGAAGGCAAACTTTAATATGACATGATACAAGCAAACCGCAAAATACGTGTGAAGAGAAAACATGGCCAGGCATAAACTACATCATTTTGATACTTTGAAGATCTCTTACTAAACAATTTTCATTGTCATAGAAAAACTTACAGTCTCATCCCAAGCCTACTGCTCATATTTTGAAACGTGCAAAGTCTTGCACAGCATCTAGTGCCTAAGCCTGTATTATTTGTTATTTTCATTAAAGATGTTAGACATAATAGGAAGAGCATAATAAGATAGGAAACTAGAATAAACAGCCAGACAAGCTCTAATCTGGGAATTAAGCACAATAGTTAAACAGCGGATGCCTTTGTGAAAGTAATTTCTTAAAGCAATTCTCAAATCAAAAAGATTAATGTGGCGGATACTGCCACAACAGACAACGTAATTCGTAGTATGGTCTTGAAATACAGGATGTGGGTCTACCCTACTGGGAGACCATGCACTCAGAAGAAATATGTGTCTTAACCCTTCTAATGAATCCAGTGAGATTTAGTCCAAATTTATATAAGAATGTTTCCTGAATTAATCCAATTTTTGATATTTGATTCAGTAGATAAGTCTGTTGCTAACTGACATCCAGTTAAGAAAAATTGCCTTCATAAATCAGCTTATACTTACAGGAATGACTTCTTGTCTTGTCTGAATCACTTACAACTGGGTTATTGCTTGACATAAAACGTGATTAAAGATATTTTTCATTTTGATTTATAAAAATTGAGCATAACTTTTAAAGAAATTGAAAACATTTCCACCTTACATATTTGGAGTAAAACTATGCTTCCTTATGCTTGCAAGTAGTCTTTTTATTTTTCATATAACTCATTTCATAAACCTTTACCACATTTCAGAATAATATGCTCATCTTTGAGGAAAGATAATTTTATCATTTTTGTGTTCAGAACTGTCAACAACAGCAACCACAGAAATTATACTTCTTTCAAAATTAAAAAAAAAAAAAAAGAAAAAAAAAAATGTTGTGTCTGAGAACCTGAAAAAAAAGCACCAACAGTGCTTGTTCCAGAAATCTGTATCTTCTCTGCTAAAACAAAGAGCTGCAATAATTCTGCAGAAGTTCTCTCTGTCTCCAACAGTAAAAGAAAGATACAAAGTGAAGGAAATCAAACAAAGTCTTGTGTATTTCAGTGGAACACAGGTTTTTTCCACCACTGAAAACTAGTAATTCTGTTGTATGGTTTGTTAACTGAAATCTAGAGGCAATCTGCTATTGTTATTATAAAAGGTAATAATGCTTTTCTTTATAAGAAACAAATATTGGCATTAGAAAAGAGATCTAAGAAATAACTCTTAATAACTGAGAAGTTTTTCTATTCTTTATGTGGAAAAGTATTTCAACTTGAACAAAATAAGGAAGGATAACAAAAACAGATGTGTTCATTAACCTAAGTAAAACAGCTGAATGTACGGGTCACCTCTTAAATACACATAAAGTGCAATGACATTGGAGTCTCTATTCTAATTTTTAACTTAGCAGAATTTAGGATAATTTTATTTATAAAATGATGAGAAATATTTTAAATGTGGAGAAAGAATATTGCTTAAATACTTTTATTCTAAAAAGAGAAAAAAAAGTAATAAATTCAAATAAACAATGTATTAAACTTAAATGCTTTTCCTGAATCTATGTTGTGTATGAACTTCACTTCAGATGAGTGCTGAGTCTCCAGTACCACAGAATGAAATATTAAAACTGAACTGCCTAGCACTAGATTCCTGTAGAAAACATTACACCCATTCATCCACACAAGAAAGGAGTTCAAGCCATGAATACTTTTTTTCTTCATTAACCTCTGCACAGACTTGAAAAAATTCAAAAGAAGGGAACACAAATAGGCAATTTTTTAAAGACAGTAATTTACCTTCTCTTTTGCCTGGCAGTTGTGAAACTGTACTCAGTCCAGTATTACTGTGGTAGTAACATTCTTGAATGAAAATACAAGCTAGGCTGTTGAATGGCTCTATAGTCTTAAGACTTTCCAAAGATAACAACTGCTTTACCAGGCTCAGTGATAACATAACATTTAGAGAATCAACACATAATTAATCAGCTTTACAAGTTTTCCAAATTGATGTAATTAATGTATTTGTGAAAATGTGTGCCAAATTGCATGAACCCTGGAAATGTGAACTTATTCTGAACTGGTAGAACATAATTTATTTGCTTATGGTAAAGCATTTGAAGAACGGTAATTGATTTTTTCTTTATACCTCTGGTATATATGAGGATTGTTTTGAAGTGATACTGAAAGACTTTGTGCTGTGTTGGTAAAATGACAAACTCAAGAATATCTAGTGGTTTATAAGCTATTATCATCAGTTTAGGAAGGGCAAACCTAGGAAAGGAATTGCTTAAAAAATTGAATAACTTTGTGAAAATTAGGACACAACCTTCATGACACGATACCCAGTGAAAAAATATACATGATTTCATCAAAATCTGAAGTATCTTATTCTCCCCATCTCACACAGATATCCAGCATTTTGGACTAAATCTTCCAGTGAAGATTTTTCTTATCTAGGAGTCTGTTTTTCAGTGTTGTTTACCAGGCAAGACAAAATAATTATCAGCTTAACAGCTAAATTTTGCAACATCTTACAGTAGCATTTTTTTTCCATCTCACTTCTAAAGTCATGAGTTTGCTCTCATGGTAAATTCATACTAGACAGAACCCTTCTTTACATGTTGCCTTAAATTCTGAAGTATTTAACAGAGAACTCTCTGTCCTTGGGGATAATTACATTTTACCGAAGCAGTTAAAAAGACACTACTGACCTTCACAGCAATCTTGCCACATCCTGAGATCCAGTTTAGGAATATCTTCACAGCTGCTGTATCCATAAGGGAATTCAGCCACCTTAAAGACATCATGTTGCACTCTGGTTATGTTGTCACCATTGTCACACAGAACTCTGGCAAGAGATGTCTGCTTGATCTGAGTGAGCTGAGCAGGCGTGAACACACCCGGGTTCTCATACCATAACCTGTAATCTCACACAAAAACAGGTTTGCTAGTGAAAAATCAAAACATGTATTTTTCCAGAAAACTTGCAATACTGTATTAAAAAGTAAATGAGCGTTTTTATAGAACATAATCTCAGACATCTTTACTTTAGAATACAACAGTTCAGTCGGAAGGGACTGAAGATCAACTTCAGCTGCCTGACCTGCCTGACCAGGGGTAACCAAATGTTAAAGCATATTAATTGAAGGCACTGTCCAAATTCTTCTTGAACTCTTACAGGCATGGAGCACCAACCACTTCTCTAGGAAGCCTGCTCTAGTCTTTGACCACCCTCAGAATAAAGAAATTTTTCCTAATATGTGTGACCCTCTTGTGGTGCAGCTCTGTGCCATTCCCATTCTGCCATTAGTTCCCAGAAGCAGAGCCTGGCACCTCCCTCTGCTTCCCCTCCTCAGGGAATGGCAGAGAGCAGTGAAGTCATCTCTTAGCCTCCTCTTCTTCAGACTGGGCAACCCAAGCATCCTCAGCCTCTCTTCACAGGGCGTGTATTTGTTGTCCTCCTCTGAATGCTATCAAGGACATCAACATCCTTTTCATATTGAGGAGCCCAGATACATTGTGTCTGAGGGTGCGATCCAGATGCCTAAAGGCATCAATTTCACCCAAGGTAGTGTTGGGCTGAAACTCTGAAAGGGCCTTAAGTCATTAACAGCACCTTTGACACCTTGTTGTATTTTGATGTCTTGAGTATCTTAGGACATAAAAATTGGTATTAGACTACCAAAATTAAGGTTCTATAAAGGTAGAGCTTTAAAATACAAATTATTTCTCCAGACAACTTTCTTAGGGATATTAAAATAATTTGACAGAATTGGTGAACAGATTAGAGAACAGCTAATCTATACATATTTTATGATTAAGATAACAGATTATTAATTTTAGTCAAGATATTTTTTCTTTGAATTCATTCAGATGACCATATCAACTTAGGGTCTTGTTAATATATGCTCAGGTAATTCATGAGATTCAAGAGGGAAGTGCTGTGGCTTAGAATAATGTATTTTGATTTTCATTCATAAAGGGCCAAAAGCCTTTTATGAATACAAAACATAAATAATACATTACTATGAGAAAGAAGCCAGCCTTCTGAAAGAAAACATTTTAAGCCGCTGTCTGGGATTTGGAATGATTTTACACTACTCTAACATGTAAGAATCACTCACTGTGATTTTGTTTATCTTCACAAACCTGTGAAGATACCAATCTAAATTGGTACTTTTTTCATCAACCGTGATAAAAAATAAGTAGGAGGCTCTTTAATGTTGAATTTTACATCAAGCTTATTTTATGCTAGACCTAGAAGAATGCTCAACAAATTTCATTTTGCCTACTTATTTTACCATTTTCATAAGGCACTGGGCAGTCGCCAATGTAATTCCAAGCACTAGAATCAGAAAAACAGATTATGAAATTTCCATCTCGATATGAAGTTAGGCTCACTTCAAACATCACTCCTTTTCCCTGCACGGGCAAATATATTTTGCATGGTGCTAAAAGCTTTGATCCTCTGCCCATTATAAATGCTTTTCAAAGAAGAGAGAGTTGCTTTCATTATGTCTAATAATATTTTACTATTTTCTGGCATGCTGCTTCAAAACATTTGTATTCTTTGGACAGCAGAATCCCATTCCCTAAATATTCAGTGTTTTCCTATAATTCCTAAATCTTTCTGTCTCTGGGGAGAAAAATATTTTGCTGAAAAAAATGTACAGTCGCACAAAAGAAAAAAAGCAATACCATTTTCCTGTTGTGATACATATAGGAACTTATCACCAGCTATCTGGAATACATATTACATATGTTTCCTTTTATTTTCTTTGCCTCCAGGCATGAGATTTTTATGTTTCACAGTTTAATGTTTAAACAGATTTGATGTAAGAAAGTTGCTGTACAAAAAAAAATATATATATGTACGAAAAAACATGTATTATTTTCTAGAAAAATAAAAAGGTGTTTATATCTGTTGTTACCCTAAGTAACAACTGCATAACGTGTATAAATCAATTAACATTAGATAAAGTGAATCAAATCTAATTCCCTACATTTTTCCTCTATGTCTCTTTCACTAGGATGGAATTAACCAGTACAAGTCTTTTGACCCTCATGAAGAATAAAAGCAGGATTCTAGGTCGCAGTGTTAAAATGAGGAAAATATTGACTTTCAAATTCCAAACCGGTATGCTGAAACTGCTCAGAAGAATTCTAGCTGTTGTAACAATAGCAGTGATTTTTTTTTTCTTATTCTTGGCACTGTAGAAACTGAGAATGAGAAACTGCTCATAGTATGCACACAAAGTACTTTCAGAAAAATTATCAAATTGTGCTCTTAGAGACAACCTGTCTGTTTTAAATGTACTTTAGGTGCATATACTGCTTATATTGAAAAACACACTGGAGTCAGATGCACAGAACAGTACTTTCTCAACCCAAGCTTAATAGCAGAGATAGTGCAAGTGTCTTAGTTATTGCAATTTCTTTGTCAATAAAATTATTAAATATCAATGAAAGCAGATGAATAATATCCACTTTGCAGAAAGGTAAGTGATTTCAGTAACTGGTAAAGGGAAGATCAAGAGTGACCCATAATTAATCAGAATCTGTTGGCAGTGGTACTTTTTGAAACTCAGTATGGCATGTTCACCATAAAAAGTAACAGATGTAAAAGCAAATTCATCACAGCTTTTAATAATATTTTGAACCTGTTCTCTTCATCTTTCAAATGAAAATAATAAATGCAGATTAATCTTGAAACAGAACATTCCAACTGCTTTTAAGCACCCTCAATTTAAAATTACCTCTAGTTTCCATAGTATTTCAATTTACCTGTCTCCATCCCTGATACGCCTAAACTGGGTGCTTAACAGACACATCAAAGTTGGTCCCAGTCGGCTTCCTGGAACTAAATCTTCTACCATTAAAGCAGGAAATAGGTCTATGTTCAGGGGGGAGCCATACAACCTATAAAAAGAAAAATACAAATATTTATCATTAAACATTATCCATTTATTAAAACAAAACAAAACCACAACAAACCTCCACACACAAAAACGGTATGCCATAAAAGTAAAGGGAAAATATACGGGTAACATAAAGTAAAAAATGACTGTGTTGGTGCTACATCTTTTGTGAAGAACTTGTGGTGTACCTACAAGAAATCCTGCAATGTAGGTTGTGCATACAAATAAGAGCATGGAGATATGGGAGTCTATCCCACAATTTCCTTTATTCTAGCAGCTTTCTTTTGATGCCTAATAAATGTTTCTTGCCCTTCTGTATGTTTTCACTCTAGCCTAGTCTCTGGTTTTGTGTAAATAAGGTTGGGATGGAAGATAGCTGAAGACTTATTTTCACTTGTTGACACAGCTAAAGGAGCACAGATCGCTTGTGATGAAGAATGCATACATGAAAACACAGTGCATATACAATTAATTATATTCCTGTTTTAGATTAGTTCCTGTTTCCTGATTGCATAGAACTGTGCATGAACTTGCATTAAAACAACATTCATATTTAGCAACATTTATAAAAACAGATGTTTCAAATTAATACTTTTATGAATGTATGCAACTTCGTATTGCTCATCAAAATCTAGAAGTGGAGAAACTAATTACATGTGGGAAATTTCCTCATTTCCTGATACAGATTGATGTTTCTTAAAAAAAAAATCTCTTTACACCTTTCTTAACAAATACTTTCTCCCAAATAAGACATTTAGCATTTAATTTCACATGCACATTTAGATAATTGATTGTTTTTCTTCACCTCAGGCTCACCTGCTGAGTTTTTCCCTGATTTCAGGATTCTTAATTTCATTTTTCAGATCTTCAAAAGTCTGAGCTGAAGAAAGATTACAGTAAACTCTAAAATCATGGTAGGGAGGAATTCCATGATCTCTGCCTCTCTGAATATTCATAGCTGCCAGATCTAAAGCCACAGTACGTGCCATGGAGAAGAGTCTTTCTGTTAACTCTGTATTGAGCAATTGTGATGGGACACGCATCTTACCAGCAACACCAAACAATCCCCTTAGAAGTGGATCAATGCCTCCTTCATTTACAATCCGAAATGGAGAGAAGAATGCCTTATGAAGAGGTAGATGGCCTTGTGGAATAGGTTCAAAGTTTTCATCCAGTCGATACAGAAAAGGATTAATGAGTGTGTGACCAAACCTAAAAGCGGCAGTTGCAAACTCATTAGTTATGCCAGAATTAACACTGGGATCATAACCTTTATATTCGCCAAGCATCTTCATGCCTACCTCTCCAAAGATCTTAGGTAGCCAGTGGCTAAATGTTATGTGTTGCATTTCTGCACCAACAATTTTGCGTGTTTCATGATATATTGTGTCACCATCCCAGTGTGGATTGAGTTTCAGTAGCTCTGTGGCAATTCTGTTGTGTTCTCTAAACCACAATGTGTGGATACTGGTAAGACCCAGCTGTTCATTAGAACGCTGATCACCAGCTAAAAAACAGGGAATGGGGCTCTCATTTTCATCCCTCATACATTCTGTTGGTGGGCCAGTAGCAAATGGAAGAAGGGGCTTGCCAGATCTTTGTACAATGCCCTGTCTCAGAAGACCCCTTTGACTTGCCAAGTCTCTGATTTCCAGAGCTTCATGATCTGAACTGCCATATACATTGGATGCATCAATATATGAAGTCAGCTGGTTAATCTGTTCTCGTGGGTATACAGAATTCATCAGGAGAGATGTCATGCCACTTCCACAAACTGGACTGGAGCGTACAAAAAACATGCAGCGTGCACCATTTCTGACTCTGGGATCGTTTGGCGGTATCATTATTGAAAAGCATGGAGGATCATTTGTGCAAACTGAACTGCAGTGCTGACCATCTGAAAATCTCGCCTCACTTAAGGCAGCAACGGTGAGATCAAGGTCATGGTCGAGAAACTGACCCCACTGCATGAGCATGTGAGTGTACTGCTCATCTGGGGTTATGGTTTCAGTTCCAATCAGAGTAGTTGAAACCAAGCGAGGCATTGGGAGTGCATATCCATTAGAAAGTCTCTTGGGTTCAATTCCCCGAGGCAAATTAAATCCATTTTCGTAGACCGACTTTAACAGACGTTCAAAGGCTGTCAGAGAAGCGCCCCACATGGGATGCTGCAGATTGTTGCATGTTCCATCATGTGTCCTGTACTTCTGGTGAAAGCACATATCTGAGCAATTGTTCACTCGTCGATGAGCTGTACAGCCCGAGAGATTAGCTATCAGATTCAAGTACTGTGGGGATACAAGGTCATTATAGTGATAACCTGAAACCAGAAGAGAGAAGAAAGAAAATCAAAGACTTTGTAGACTCATGGTTCCCAAAGATCATGCATTTGTTTAGAATGTTACTTTTTATACTGTATTTTCAATATGATTATCATTTAAAAAAGAACAGTCAAATAATGTATATATAATGCACTATTCACTCATTTGAGGAACATCTATTAAATCAGGAAAGGATTATGTAAAAGGACAATTCAAGTAGAACTTTCAGAAAAAGAGTTTATTTCTTATTTGGTCATCTAAAAAAGCATAGATATTTTCAGAAATAACAGCCTCATACCGAGAATGGAAAAAAAATTCCTCACGGTAGTAAAAACTCATAGAAAACTCAGCAACTTATTTAGCTTTTGAAATTTTCCCTTTTAAGATTTGATAATCACAGAATCACAGAATCGTAGGGGTTGGAAGGGACCTCCAGAGATCATTGAGTCCAACCCCCCATAATTCAGTGAACATATTGCTTATCACAGTAAAAGCTGTAGTGCTGCAAGACGAACAAAGAATAGAAAGTACAGAGGCAAATCACCACAATTTAACTAAATTTAACAATTTAACTAAACAGAAGAGTGATCTGTAAGACAAGTGTGGAGTAATCTGCATTCACATTACTCACAGTATTTCACTGCAAAGAAAAATTAGTGCTTGCGTAACAGTTGGCACAGGTTTCCTCTTGGATCCACACCACTCACATCTGGAACCTTAATACTGCTTCACGTTCCAGTGGGTGGCGACATTTCAACTAGGGGTTAGATTTGATGGCTCCTGCTTGAAGCAAGGAAGTCTCCAGGATTGGATCAGCTCAGCTGTCTAGTTGTCTTGAACACTCCACTGACTGAGACTCTTCAGCCTCTTTGTTCCAGTACTGCATTGACTTTCTGGTGAGAAAGTATCCTAAAATCCAATCAGAACTTCCAGAGCAGTGATTTGTGGCCATTCCCCTTGTTACACTGTCTGGCACTGAGGAAGAGAATTTGGCTCCACCATTTTTCCTTGGTATATTCCAAGATTTTACAAAAAAGTCTCCAAATATGAAATTGTCAAGTTTTTCAACTGTTCCCCAGGTAAAAGTGCTAAATAACATCTTTCACTGGGTTCTGCATTTGGAAATAAAACCAAATATGGACAAATTTGAGTATTAAGATCTAAGCATTAGACTTTTTAAAAGACAACAGATTTGTTCTAGCATTCAGGTTTCCCTATAAGCTATATTCTTATAGATTTTGTTTGGCTGAAAAATAAGCTCTGCTTGTGAACAGAATTTGAAATATCTCAGAAAGTTGCCTGAATTTGTGTTCATTAACTTGTGTTTACATGTGTTAATGCTAATTTTTTATAAGGCTTAAGTGATTGATTTCTTCTATTACAAATTCTAATGAAAAGCAGCTAAGGTATTCTCACACATTAGTTTTCAACTATCCTTACTGCTGTACTGCGCTGCGTGAGTTTTGTATTTAATATGTTTGCATATGCATCTAATCAGAGAAGCAAATTAGATCATGTTGCTCTTATAAAACACATAATTTTATATAAGTTTTTGTGGTTAATTTTATCACAAATTATTTATTCAGCTCTAATAATGAGTAACAAGCTTCTTTTACTATCACATTTACAGCATAACACAAAGCCTGCAGTCTTTGGTCTTATAAATACTTGCATAGTTCAGGGTCAGTCAGAGTTAAAGTTTTCGGAAGTTACAATAAATACTCAATTATAAACATCAAAAGAAATATAATAAGTAAAAATATTTCCTCTAGATTTTCAGTGTAGCTTTTGGCTGTGTCTGAAGTCTCAAAAGCTCTCCTAAAACTCTGTCATTATTTCCAAATGCTTCAGTCCTGTGTCTCAAGCCTATCCACACACATTTACACACAGTAGTTGTATGCGCTCCAACTGGACTTCATGAATTTGAACTTGGAGTTCAATATCTAAAAAGTCGAAATATTAAATACCAAATTTTTTTGGTGTTTATAAAAAGCAGCAAAAAGGTATTTCTCACTATGTGAGATCTGAGTTATACAGCTTAGTTTGACACATTACTTAAAGAATGAATTGCAAATAATTCTTTGAATACTATGGTGGTACATGTAGAAACCTTGTTTTGTAAAGAATATACACTCTTCTTGTTATAGCCCCTTTGTTGTGAATGATGACACCAAATGTATCTACTTAAAAAAATAGTAATAAATTACTGATCCTTTTCAATACATAACAGATAAATCTGTTTTGCAATAAAACAGTGATCCTAATGAATTAGCACATAAGCAGCTAGCAAACATGATGCATTAGGCACTTCCAGAATATCGAATAAGATTAGGAGAAGAATCTGAACATGAATTTTACACCCATTTCATTAAAATGAAATTTTAATATGTCTACATGAGGAAAAGTAGAAACATTCTACTAGGAGAGCTCAATCAAATCAAATTGAGTTTCACCATATTGTAGCAGTGTGCAAACCAACGACTGAATAGATAAATGTATTTCTAGTAAAGTTTTGTGAAGTCACTGATGTCAATATAAGGGTTCTGCAATTGGACCCAGACTCTGGCAATCTCTCTTTGAACCATTAATGACTTAAGAAGGCAAATACACTCCATCACAGAAAAATAAGGAAAGAATACTGACTTGTTCCATTCAGGTCAACCATTAGACCATCCTGTACATGATCTTGGATAAGCTGTAATGTTCTTTCAAATATTTCCCCAGCTCTTGCTTGCTCAACAGTGTATGGATCCCTTGGGTATCGAAATAAGGCTAGCAAATCATTTGGAGAACGAGGACGACTAATAGATAATTTGAAAAAGAATAGTAAGTATACAAAGGAGTTGTAAAACAACACTACGTACAGTAAAATTTCAACATGATTAAAACATACCTTGGTTACTCATCTCAAAATGGAAGGCAAACAAAAACAAATGCATATATATTTAATAAAAGAATATGGAAATAAAGAGTTGTTAGCCTATTATAACACACTGTGCCCCTAGAAAAACTACTGCATTGAATAGAGAGATCAACAGACAAAAATTTGATTTTTGCTACTTAGTATTTCATAGAAGGAATCCTTCCATGCTGAACTACTACTATTCCCAGAAATAATCCCACGTTAACATTCATTATAATAATAATAAAATGGCTTCTTGCTTACTGAATGTTTTATTTCTTCTAGTATATACTTTAATTTTGATTTATCCGTCAAAAAGAAGGGGATACCTGTCAAACAGATGTGTACGCGTTGAATTTATTGCTCTGTCAACAGTTGCAATTGCTTCCACAATTGATGTTTGTACAAAAGGATCTCCATTTCGGCTGACATTAGGGACTACAGAAAGAGGAATTCACATGTTATTGCAAAAATGACCCCACACAAAAAGATACTTCCATAAAAGAGTCTAGACACGACATCATTTCAGTTGTACAAAGTAAACCCCTGTTCTTTAAGCATTAGTTTGTCCGAATATAAAATTCTTAACTGCTTTCGAGTTCTAACAAAACATATTACAGAAGAGAAAAATTAAGCTAAAATAATAGTTAACACAAATTTAAAAGTCATCTTATTTATAATTCTAAAAATAATGTGAGGATAAACATGTAAGGGGTTTAGCTGCTCATTAGTAAGTCCTACAAATGTAAGTAAAAATGAACAAAAAGTTCCTTTTGATTGTAGTGTATTACCAGCTTTCCAGTGTTGATATGAAGAACATGATCTATATCCAATTAAATAATATCAAGTTTTCCCTTTGAATCCAATTAGTACTGAATAAATGGCTGAATTCAATGCAAGAATGTAGGAGGTTAAAAGGAATGTTACTTAATAGAATTAATTTTGCCTTTTAAAACACATAGATCACATAAATATAGAGATTTCATGAAAACAAATAAAATCAAATTGGAAAAAATGAAAAGGAAAAATACAGATTTGCGTATTTTCCCTTTACAGCTACGCTAAACTAACACAGCTCTTTACTCCTGAATTCATCCTGGTAATTCATTTTATTTCTTTTGATTACTACTTTGTTTCCAGTTTTAGTATTATTAAGCTAAGTAATTTATGTTAAAAATCACATACTTCAGGGCTTTTACAACTCTTCATAGTACCAGAACAGTAAAGCACAGGCCTTTTCATGCCATGCTCAATTGCAACTGAATGTTTGTACAACATCTAAGGCCAATAACCTTCCTTTCAGTCTAACCCAAGAACTACCAGATCCAGGGGTAACAGCTAACAATTTCCACAGTATGTTTAGATTGGAAAAGCCACACAGGAAGAAGGGTAAAAGTAGGGGAAAAGTCCAAAGCAAAAACACTGGAATAAGAGTCAGCAGATGTACAAAATCAGCGGATATAAAAACTGTTGTTTACAAGCTTTTAATGACATTTTTTTCTCTTTTCTGGGCAATATTTCATTATTCCTTCATTACTGGCAGCTTAGGTTGTGTCTACATGAGCTTCAGAGCCTGGACAAGGGCAATCAAATTCAACCATCAATATAGTCAAATAAAAGGCACCTGGCTCTGTATTACTGTATTACTGGAGCCCCTTGATCTGCCCTCAGGCCAGCTGCCTTGGGTGACTGACATACTCTGTGCACTAAAAATGGGCTGATCACAATGCCTAGAATAAACCTTGATCTATGCTAATTATCAACTGCTGTAGCAGCTATAGAGATATATTATTATTGATAATAATGATGTAATATCATTTACAGCTTTTAATACCCTTGTTTGAGTTGTTTTGGAGAGTGTTTGTGTACCCTGAATCATCTTAGGACTTCACCAAGATAGATACAAGAAAACTAGCTGGTTTTCTCCTCCAAGCTGCCTGCAATAGAAGTAATCTCAGTGTTCACCTTAGGTATGTGTTCTGCAGAGCTATCTTTTTGATTAACAGCACATGCAGGCTGAATCATAAACCTTAGTCAAATGTTAACTATACAGTACTTTATTTTTGTTTGATCTTTCTGTTGACAGTAGCTTGCTTTATAGGCCAATAAATATTAAAAGTCAAAGCTCCATACAAGCCTTTCAAGCCTTACTTTTCTGAGAGGAAGAGAAAAATGGCAATTTGCTTGTTAAAGCCTATCAATTGATTTTTAAGAAACAAAAACATCATCTACTCCCAGCATGCCTTAAACTTAATGCAGTAATTTGCCATTATTACTTCCAAAAAATTAGAATGAAATCATATTTTCTGCATTTTTTTTTCTGTTTTCTCCTTTTCATTCTCAAGAGCATTACAACTTTACTACTTTACTGAATTATTTCACAGTGGTTGCAGCCCCGTCTTCAAATAATAGCTTTAAGTGCCTCTTGAAAAATGCCACAGGAGTTCTTGTTAAGTTATCTCAAAAGATTAGACTACGTATTCAACCAGAAAATTTTAACAGGTCCAAATCATAACTCAAGAGGAAAGAAGCATAATTAACCGGAGCCCAGAATGTTGTTTGTTTTCAAGCCTATGTTCCAGAGACATTTTGGCTGACGTATTTCTATCTTATGTCTGTACAGATGGCTGCCTGAGTTAAATGGGAATAAAAATGAGAGGTCCACAAGAGAAATTAAAAATTCAGCATTTGATGAACTTTTTGCATCTTACAAATTAGACAATTATTATAAAAGTAATTATCTAGTTCATACCACTGACCAACTCATAAACCTTACCATTAACGCTAAGTACCATACTAACAGAGGAGTATCCTATGGTATTCCGGGCAACGCATTCATATCGACCTTCATCAGCAGTTCCAACATCACGTATGGTAAGATATCCCTCCGGACTAACATGAAATTTTCCACTCTCAGTTACCTGAACTCCATCCTGCAGCAAAGCACAGTGTTTTGTTATGCTGGCATATTCACTCCTTGTTTTCAAACCTGATTTTTTTTTTTTTTTTTTTTTCTCTTTTTCCTCAAAGCATTGGGCTACCAAAAAATTACCAAAACACGTCTTGGCTGAAGCTTTAACAGTCTAAAACAACTGAGCATTACAGTGAGTTTTGTTACTTTAATGCTTTTATTGCTATGTCAATGAAAGGGGGAATACTAACTGATATTCACAAGAATTATTATTGAAATATACAGGTTGTTGAATGCCCATATTACTGGTGCTCTATTACCTTATTCCATGTAATTACTGGCTCTGGCTCTCCTTGAGCACTGCATGGGATCTGCACATTTGTGCCAACTTCTACTGTCATGTCACTAGGAACACTGGCAAATACAGGAGTCACTAGAAAAACAAAAAAGACACATTGGTAAGTTACTTGTACAAATGATGATCTGAAAAAAATCAGCACTGTTTGTTTCGGTTACCCAACATTTCTTAATCTACAATCCTATTCTGTATGCAAGTTTTAATTGCTTCTATCTATGCCTTAAAGATAACACTCCTTGTTCTTAGTATCTCCTTAGGCTGATGTTTTACATACACGTAGCTTCTTACCAAACAGGCAAGTAATTGCCAAAAACACTAAGATCCTTAAGTTAATAGCTCTGAAAAAAACCACCTGTGAATAACGAACTCAGAACAAAATCAGCAGAATGATGTGAAATTTGCCATCAACTTCTGTCAAAATTTTTGAAGTTTTAAATTTTAAATAGCAACAACAGAGAATTTTCTTTTACAGAAAAAGTACTTTCCAGAACTCACTCAACTCTGACAGTCTTTGATCATTAATACAAAATTAGCCATAGTGACCACTGACTAGACATTCCTGAGTTGAAAAGCCCCTTTGCTAGAAGCCTGGAAAAAAAAAAGGTTTTATCTTATTCTACATAATTAAAAATATTACTACAATTAATCTATGGAGAGCTTCAATTTCAGGATGTAGCATTCAGTATTGTATCTACTATCTTTTGATTATAAATATTAATATGATCCTAACAAATTGTGGAAGTAGCTTACTAAGAAAGGCAGACGAAAATGGTGGATTTTTTCTATGTTAATATTTTGGGTATAAGGGGTGGTGCTTCATTGTAAAGGTCATTCTGGTAATTTAACATGATGTTTTCATTATTTTCGTTAGTAAGCAGCGGAGAGGCATTTTAGAATTTAGTCTAACTTGCTCATGGAATGAGTAAACATTTTCAAAACAAAATACTTTCACAAGCATAGGAATACAGCCATCTACAAAATAAATCTCCATTCTTTTTATTAAAAAAACAAAAACCAAAAAAATCGGTAAATCAGATAAACCTCTTTCACAGACAGATTGCTCTAAAGGAACAACATTATTCTCAGATCCTATAAAGCCTCCCTATATGCTATTTATTAAAAACTACTTGCAAGCTAAAGATAGATGTGCTCAGAAATAATGATGAGAAATGTGAATTATGGGCAACAACCAGAACAGCAAGTTTTCTAAATAATAAAAGATACAGTCCCATTCTAACAAGCTCATATCAAAAAACGTCATGCTTAATTGTAAGGTTATGTATTCTCCAGGTGATTTTAAATGAAGCCCATCTGGGCACACTGACCCACACATTCCATTTTTAAGACCTAGTAAGACACCTTACGGTTCAAACCCAGCATTGTACATTCATTGTAATATTCAGCAAAAGTTCTGATAAACCCCAAGTGTTATTTAAGATCTGCTTAAAAAACTTTTTAATTCTAAAGTAAGATAAACCTATTTCGTATTCACATGTATGACATACTATGCCTTCATTTTAGAAAAAGAAAATAATAATACAAACACAATATATTTTAATGTGGAGAATGTACCTCTTGGCTGTACAGTCAGGTATACAACAATCCTTTGAGATCCAATGATGTTGACAGCTTGGCATTCATACTGTCCTTGGTCATGCAGAGCAACTCTGGAAATTCTCAAGGTACCAGAAGATAGGACTAAATGTCTTCTGTCAACAGACAACTGGCCTCCTGAAATACAGAGCAATACCATTTGCTATTTATAACAGTAGAGAACAAAGTCTCTTTGTTCCAGTAAAAGGGAAATCTGGAAGATTTTATATATGATAAAACACTGGAAACAAAAAGAAGTCTCTTAAAAAGAAACAACTTCTGAAAGCTTTAAATCACAGAATACAAATTCAAGAAATATATAAATACACAAAATCATAATTCTGATTTCTCCTCTGTCACTTTTTGTGATACAAGTACTTTCATCCAAGCAACATAATTTTTTTTTTTTTCATCCTAACCAAAGAACAGAATGAAGAATGCCTTTTGGTATTAATGATAATTTCCTATTGTTACATGTAAGACAGTCACAATTCACCTCATCTGCCTAGGACATCTAGAGAACCAATAACCACCCACAGGTCTGGAAAAGGAATATAATGTAATACAACACAAAGGAAATGAAAGGCACAGCAGTGTCTGTACCCTCTTCTTCCTTTCTGGACATCTCAATTGATTAGAACAACTTTGGCAGAGGGAGAAACAGGAACATTATCAGAATCAAAATGTTCCAGTGTGTTAGAAATCTGCTTTATCTATCATAATTCAAAATTCCTTACAAGTTGCTTTTCCTGCTAAAGCTACTTCATTTCATAGAACTGGCACATCTACTTCTACTTACAACATCCACTACAGTATTTCTTCCCACTGTACTGGACTTACTGCACTTACTCTGACAGAAATGTGGTGGACAAAAATTGTACTGATGGCAGCCTGGATTGGTCTGGTTTGTGAAGACAGTGCATCCCACCATACTTTAGATCTCCAGTCAATGACAGACTTCTTAATTTCTTCTGTTGTGAATTGGCAGTATTGCTGCATGTGTTTTGTCTCACATTTCATAAACATATTTTTGCAGAAATCTGTTACGAAGGCATATATTTTACTGAGTCCTTTCTACTGAAGAACTCTTGGGCAACTAGCTTTTGCTGGATATTTTGCTTTTTCTAGCTAAAGAAGGGAGATGTGAACTCTGTTTCCTTCAGAGATTGAACAAATCTGAACAAATACACACATTTCCCTTCAATTCATTAGTGATTCCAAATTCTATTCTAGCAGATTAAAAGTACAACCAGAACAAACTTACCTCCTTTAGTCCAAGCAATAACAGGCTGTGGATAGCCTTGTGCTTCACAAGGGAAATCAACTGTTTGCCCTTCAATCACGGTTTTGTCTTGAGGGGTGACAGTAAATTGAGGCAGAGCTACAGAAGAAAAAAAACGAGAGCTGAAAAATGCATAACTCTCTGAAATTATGTACAATTTTCTGTGTGACATGAAAGGCTCATAAGGGTGGGAAGTGTGTTGCCAATGGGACCATTTCACATTATAAGCAATTTAGGGATGAAAGTTAAAGGCAATGTCTTATGCAACAGGAACATCCCATCACACTGTGTCCTGGCATCAGTGAAGGCCTCTGAGAGCTACTGCCACAGATCCAAAGATGTACGGTAGGTTTAAAGAATCAGAGTGTTCCTGGGTTACCCTCCTTTTCTGTCTTTCAAAAACTCCTCATACAAACTATGGAGAAAATGCAATGTGGTCTAAAGTCTCCTTAGCTGTTTTCGCTTGCCTTTACTCAGAAGGAAAATAGAGAGTGAAGTGCAGGCCAGTTTCTGCAATAATATCGTGGCATTATCAGTGTGAGAAGGAATTCGTTCAGCTCTCAAAACACAATTATCCACTGGTGAATGATAAATGAACAAACCACGTGGACAGATGGTTCTGCATAGCTTTAAAAACTGAGCTCATTAACCAACCGTGTGCAACCTGAATGGTTTGTCATGTCTCAACATGAAGATAGAAATTAATTTGTTAATCAGAACATTTTGCAAATAAAGATTTCAGCATCAAAACTTTTGAAAAAATATATTCTCCACTTGCGTGTACAGAACAAAGTTTTCTGATATCCTGCTCTTGATAGAAAAGCTTTGCTAATGCCTCAGCTGGAAGAGTAGTTGTTTCCACGAACATCAGCAGAATGTACCCACATTCACTCAGGGGTCACAGAAGGAATTGATATGGAACTAGATTTAAAACTCTTTTTCTAGTGCTCCAGGCATAAATACTGATCTCTAGGATTGTTAATTGTCATAGAAAAAAATTTGGTCCTCCATGAGCTAGACATTCAAAAACACACACACAAAAAAAAAAACCCAACAAAACAAACTGTAACCAACTAAACTGTAAACATTTCAAAACACAAATGCTAACTTCTGTGAATAATCAATGAAACTTCACTGCCAGAGATTTAGTGTATAATATCTTAATCTTGGCGAAACAAGAGCAACATTCCTGTGGACTAGTGTAATTGAAAGAAAAAAAAACCCTTATGGTTTCAGCTTGGTTCTGGTCATTCAGAAAAAAAAAAAAAAAAAAAAAAAAGAAGAAAGAAAAAAACAAAGAAAACCATACAATTTGCTATTATATACTCTTCATAATATGTTTTACAGCATGTCACTCTGTTTAATTTTACTCACCTTGGACTATGATGTACGCAGTCGCATGGATGTTACCTACGCTGTTAGTTGCAAAACAGGTGTACTCGCCACTGTCTTCCTGCTTGACATTTTGTATGTAAAGTCCTCCTGATGGAGTTATCGTGATGCGAGGGTCACTGGGTAAAGGTGTTCTGTCACCTTTGGTCCATGTAATTTGTGGCTGAGGGTGCCCAGTTGCACTGCACTCCAAAGTGACACTTTCTCCAACTAAAACCTCTGTATTCTGCGGGTGAATCACAAAACTTGGCCTGGCTGTGAGAAAACAACCAGAATCTGTGAGAAAATGCCTAAATATGAATTCCAACTGAGAGAATTGATTTGGCCAAATATTACAATAGTTTGTGGAATTTTTTTTTGTTGTTGTTGTTGATGTCTCTGTTCCAAAGTACTACTAAACTTGGTGCAAACACTGCATGCTTTAATCCTAAACTTTTTGTTTGTGTTTGTTTTTTGTTTTTCTTTAAATCCCTGTGTAACAATTATGAACCATGCAGTTCTGCACATTAATTTGGTACTTGACCCGAGCAAAAGAATTCTGCATGTCAAGAATATACAAGAAACAAGAAATTCTTATTTTTAAAAATCCTATTTTTAGCAACCTTATGATCTTGTTTTTAGCAGTCCTATAATCAAATAGTTATCTGTTTAAATGTTTACCTGGTGATCCAAAATATCTGAGAGTAACTTCCTGAGTTTTCACTTCTCCAGCTACGTTTTTTGCCATGCACTGGTAAATGCCCTGGTCAGTTTCTTGAGTATTTTGAATCATTAATGTGCCATCATCTAGCAAGTTTAGACGAGAATCTTCTTTCATAATGAGCTCATTACTGTGAAGAAAAGAATCTGCTGGAGTTAAACCTTTAAATCAGAAGCACAGAAAACTGCCAAATAATAAAAAACTATATTAACCAAAATAACTTGGAAAAAAATTTTTTACTGCATTAAATAAAATAGAACGTTTAGTTTTCTCCTGAAGAGAAAAAGCAGAGGAAAATCTAAAAATAATCCTTTTTTTTTTTTTTTTTCCTGCAAGCACTATATCTTCAAAATGAAAAGCCAAAATATTTTTATGAGTAAAAGCTTATGTGGGGAAAAAAAAAAAAAGGGGACAAAAAACCATAACTTGTCTAATTCTCTTTTGAGGATACAGACTTTTCTAAGTGGCAAAACAATTTCAAATGTTTCTTCTGGAAGTACACTAGGTAAATTTAATAATCAAAATATGTTCTACTATGAAGAGGACTCGTTATATAAGACCATCTTGGTGCCAGCCTTCCTCTGGATTGCTCAAGGAGCACTTATGAACCTGACTGCAATTTGCACTGGCTTGAGATGTAAGTCAAGATCAGCACATCAGGCTGTCATGGCTGCAACGTTTCTTGATATGATCTTAGTACAGTAGGAATATTGTATTGAAGGAACTGTCTCTCACTCCATCCCTCGCTACACAATGAAGAAAGCACAGAGGAAGGATGAAGAGCTCATTCCTTGTGTACAAAACCAAGACCAACTGCTGATCTATACAACATTCAACAGCCACTCAACAGGTTAACGCCTTTTGACTGTAATCTTGCCATATTCAACTACCTTGCAGAAAGCTTTGCTCTCATTCTTGCAGCCAGGAAACAAGCCAGAGTCAATAATCCCACACCCCAAGCTCAAATTTCTTCTTAAAACTCTTTCATATGTGTATTCCAAATACATGTTTTCTTTGTTTATTATAATAAATTCATGAGCCAAAGAAAATTTTAATGAAATAATTATACCATCCAAGTTTAATGCTCTGCTCTTTACATACTCCATAAACGCTGTACCCTTGTTTCATCTGGAGCAGACTGTTGCAGAACTACGACTCCACCTCGTTCCATTTTATCAGAAACTAACAAACTAAAATGGCTCACTTATTAAGATGAACTGTGGAGGAATCTGTTTTCCAGATTAAGTTCTCCATTTGTTTAAGGGAATTAACAACTCACAAATCACCTGTGCACTGTAAATTCACGTAGGTGTGAGTGTTGCCATGTGGCTGGTTCTGCACTGCTATGCCTGGCTCTGATAAAACAAGACATCGCCTGGGCAGAGCTTGGGCAGATAGGCCAGCCCAGGGGCCCTCAGGAGATGCACATGCTTTTATAGACCCTATGCTCTCAAGCTGCAAGAAGAAACATTCAAGCAGGTTGCCCAGAGAGTTTGGGCTACGTCCACCCTTGGAGGATTTTAAGATCCAATCAAATAAAGCCCTTAGCAACTTGAGATGTTCCCACAGCTGATCTTGCCTGGAGCAGAAGTCTGCACTAGAGACCTGCAGAGGCTCCCTTCCACAAGAATTAACCTACAATCCTGTGATGTACGCATGTGCCCACCCTCCATCTATTGGCCTGGGGAATCTTCCCTCTTCTGGGATGAAGCTACACCTCAGAGAAAATCTTCCTGCTTTGGAGCTGCTATTCAAAGACCATCTCTTCTAAAAACCTGTGTAAAAGCAACGATCATTCAGCCTCAAAACACGATGTAAACAGATCTAAGCTGCACATTCAAACACTAGCTAAGCTTACCAACTGCACATGCAACGTGATCCTGTTGGATTGTCTGCTACTTACTTTCAAGTGATTTAAAGTTTTACAGTTGAGAGCAACTATATAACTACAGTTGAAAAGTTTACTCATTATAATCACTTTCTAAAATTATCAGCTCTTAAGAGTTTGGAATTACTAATAAAACAGATCCAGGCCATTATTGCTCCACATGCTACTTTTTATTAGAATATGTTTCTGCTGTTACTATTCCAAATGTTAGAAGTAATGTGTTTGGTCATGCACCCAGCAATGTACACACACAAACATACTTGCATCAAGTTTCTCTCTTCCTTTTTTGAACTTACTTGTTTCGAAGCCAAATAATTTCTGGTTTAGGATTGCCTTCAGCTCTGCAAGTGAAGTACACTGTATTCCCTGAGGTAACATCCACATCCTGAGGCTCTGATGTAATTCTTGGCCTCTCTGTATCAAAAATGAAATGTATAAGGATCCCTTACTTGTTCCAAAACTACTAAAGAATGGTAAAAAAAAAAATTTTATTGAAAAATATTTTTCACAAATGTGAAAGAAAGAAAAAAAGATTAAACATTTATGAGCTTAATCAGGATTAAACTCATTTTTACCTATCTAAAAGTGACTGCTGCCTTTCTGACCTCCATTGTTTCATAGGAACTTTAATCAGACTGGAAATGGATTGTGCAAATTTGTGTCAGGCTCTAAAGTAGCTGTTCTATTTATTTGAACAAAGGCTCAATTTGTTTATGAAGAACAAACTTTAAAGCAGCAAGCACAAGTGCCATTTAAAATAACTTCCTTTAGATAAGTATCAGTACCTAAGCCTACCTCTTACAGAATAATTTGTCCAGCTTGTTTCCTGCATTTTCCCTCTTCTGGCTTCTTAGATGTGCAGAAAGCTGGGACGATGCCATATGAATTATTCTCACATTAAACCCCCTTTTGCTATATTATTCAAGAACCTTGCAGACACCAACAGTCATAATTCTTCCCATCAGAATTGTACCCAACATACAAACAAAAGGGCAATTTAATTATATCTTCACAGGCTAATGCTCATCACCTGGCAAGAAACCTTCATTTCAGTTTCAAAAAGGGAGCTAAGCCCTGGGTGTGCAGTAATCCTGTAGTGACAGAGGGTTTCACTGCCTGTGTACAACCTATACATACAGAAGAGTAAAGGAAAACCCTAACCTAACACAACACAGTTAACAGAAGTTTTAACAACAAATTCTTAGAAATCAGGAACGACAATGTTTGTTCTCTTTATTTACTCTCCCCCATGAAAAAGGAAACATATAACACCAACAACATTAAAAGACGTAGGCTGACAATCACATCTGAAACATCAAATGAAAAGTAATATCCTTCTGAATAATCACATTAAATTTCTCTATACCAAATTTCAAATGTGAATATACTTGTTTCAGTAAATGCAGTCTAAGGGTAAAAATGACCAATACTGCCAGAAGCAGACAAAAAACAGTGAAGGAACACAGAGGGATTTCTGGAAATTGGCACTGTTAACTCAAAGCGGTCAGTATTACTGAAGGGAACTGAAGAGCAAATTCTAACCAACAAAACGCAGTCTGGCTATGTTCAATATGCTGAAGAAGTAAGGACAAAGCAGCAAACCCACCACAGTTCAGTTCCTCTGGTGTTATCGTGGCCACAGACCGCCCCTGGATCCTGCGTGGGTATTCGCAGGTAGCAGCTGCCTGAGCATTGCCTGACTCCACATATGTCTTCAGCAGCTCTGCCAGCCAAAGGATTTCACAGTCACAGTGAAGAGCATTTGAATCTAAACGCCTGCATGGAACAAGCAGCCACAATTCTTGTTAGCAATCTCAAACTATTTACAAAGGGCAGACTCAGATACAGATGGTTGTCACTTAGCTTATATGCATTCTGGCAGTCTTTATTACAAAAACATGTATTATTTCTACAATAGGGGTAGGCCTGTGTTCAACCTAACAAGCATACATACAACATCTCTCTTCTAACCCCAACAATCAATGCAAAAAAATCTGAATTTATTTAGAAATTATGCAAACTTTGCTTACAAAAGGAACATACATCATTCTCCCCACATTGTTTCTGTTTATTACTTGTTACTGCAGTAACCTCACAGTTAACTTGACAGTTTTACAACTTCCCATTTTGCTGATCAGGCAACTGACACAAAGAGCCACAGTTTTATTTAAGGGCTAAGCTTTCACTGAGTTTAGTGGGTCAGTAACCTCCTAACACACCTGCCTATAATGAGAACCCATAAATCTGGCAGACTTTCAGTTACTATGTGGAACACTGCACTTTCTAGGGTAAAGCCCTGTAGAAAAAAAGAAGCATTAAGTACAGAAATCTGTAGTATTAAATGTTTCTATATATTAATGAAAAAAAGTTGCACGGCAAAATAACTTTAGTTTGGTGTGGCTTTGGGAGACTTTCTCTCTCTCTCTCTCTCTTTTTTTTTTTTTTTTTTTAACCTGTAGTTCAAATGCTCAGATACTCTGTATTCCTTGCTGCTCTGTGATAAACAGACAAAAAACAAAGAAAACCATTCTACAACCTGCCTTACAAATGCCTTAGGGATAAGCTGTTAACAGCTCAGAAGAGAGCAAGTCAATCCAGCCCAGTGCACCATCCCAGTACTGGCCACTATCAAAAGAACCCTTTATTTTATATGAAGAAACACCCCTTTTTTGTTTGCTCAGGACCTCAAGCACTATACAAGTGAAGCGACTACTCCAGGAAGGTGGACACATCATCAAAATTTACTTTATTCCACCTCTCCTCTGTAGTTAAAAGTGTGGTTTCAGAACAGGCTCAATGGCCCTAATGTAGCAGCGCCGCAGTAACATCATCTTATTATTTCCCTTGTGATCTCTTTTGGCCGATGAGTTTGTCTAGCACAGCCCATCTCAGTGGTCTTCCCAACAAAAGGTTATGTTTTTTTTCAAAATGTCTGCCTTAGGTGATGCTAAGAATAGGCATTCTGTCAAGATTAAGCCAAAATTTGATGTGCTCCTGAGGGACTAAGAGGCCTCTAATTTTCTATGTGAATGGCATTTCAAGAGGAACTGGGTTTTGAAAGTGATAATTACATTCTCGCATCTCTGAGCATCTTTCAACAGACATTATTTATAATCAGATAAGAAAAACAGTTAAACAAAGCACTTGAAATAATCTAATAGTCAGGGATAACATAAAAGGATCACCTAGTAAGGCACAGACAAGGAAGAAAAAGAAAGAAGAGCTGTGTATATCATTTAGTCTAGATGACGAAGGACTGATGGTGAACATGATCATATGCCCACAAATAACTTGAAGACAGGAAACAAACAAAAAGACTTAGTCGGTCATTAAAGATGGTAGGATATGAAACAATTGTCTCTGTGTAAGGAAGCAACTGGAGCACAGTAAAAAAACTAATTTGAAGTTTATAATACTGAATGAAAAGACTTGACACTGCAAGATGAGATACACTTTAACAGTTTAATTTACTTACAGTCTCTTCATAGATTCTAAGTGACTAAATGTTCCAGGAATCAAATGAGCTATTCTGTTGTTGTGTAAAAATCTGTTAAAAAGCAGAGAAATATGCACAAAATATTTCAGATTTTGATATATATGCATTTTGTCTACATTACTCTGAAAGTAGTTTAAGAGAAAGCAGTCTTACAATTATTATTTTAAAAATAATCTTTTTCATTAACATTGGCTACTAATTTTTTGGATAGCTTCTAAGGTGTATTTGGTGTGTCCATATAGGAAAAAAAAGCAACATAATAATAAATCAGCCAAAAAAAGAAGGGAGTTCAAAATATAAATCTTCCCCATTCACAGCATTTATTTAGGCCAAATATCAATCACTACTACTTTGACGAATAGTTTTGCAACAGAAAAATATAACACAGGCAATGTTCCTAAGGTCAGCCTGCACAAGGTGTTCTTGGCAAAAGCTACTTAACAGTTAAAATTCAGAAAAAAAAAAAAAAATAATCAAACAAAGAAGCAAGCTGACTCTTCCATATCTTACCCCAAGATAAACAAACTTACAGCCTTTCAAGTTTTGGAAGATGGGTAAAGGACTCAGGATCCAATGTTTCTATTTGATTAAAGTGCAGATACCTGAAAATACGTTAAACAAAAAGAGAAATGCTGAAACATTTTTTTACTGCTTAAACTTGGTTTACACACCTAAATGATGGTCATGACATAGCAGCTTAAATTTCTTCTGAAATCTGGATTCTGTACTTGATTCTGAGAAATACAGGATGTGACAAACAAGGAGGATCTACAGACCACTACACATTGTATGCAGATATGCGTGCAAAAAAATTGTTCAGGCATTTACTTCGGAGGTTTTTGGAGACACTACTTTAAGAATTACTTTGCCAAACCTAGCTTTCAATAGTGTGCATCCTTGAATGAGTACACGTGTAAAAAAGAAAATTATCAAATTTACAGTGTTACAAGTTGTTTTAAAAACATTTACTTTCCTGCAGAATAACATTTTTAGCATGTAACTGTTTTCATTTTCATCACAGTAAGTGAAAATTTCAAAAGATGCTGAGAAATAACCTGTGCTAGTCCATGAATCCTGCCATTTAAAGTTATTAGATATCTCCCAAATCTCAAAAAGCAAAAAAAAAAAAAAAAAAAAATTGTAAGAAAAGAAATTATTTTGACTGACTCACTCCTAGACAAAAGGTTTCCCAGCAACTGGTGTACAGTTAACTAACACAGCTGTGCTGTTTGATACACTGCTGATACTCATGTAAGATATTAATACTTTGCAGCAACTATACAGTTAACCCTGTAACTCTGAAGGAGTCTAATGGAACAGGGCAATTAACCAGATTATTAATCTGCAACTGGTGTAACAATGGGCTATTCATAAGGGCCAATGGCAGGTTCATGCCAGCCCTGACTGTGTTGTGTAGGTATCCCACTGCTTTGGGGAGGAGAGAACAAAAGGGAACTGAAGGAATTGTGAAAACTGCGAAAGTGTTTATAGACTTTGGATCCCAATTATATTCATATGTATCCTCTCAAAATTTCCTGCTACCTCTAACAAACTCAGGAACATCACCACGGGCTGAAGAATGAAAAAAGCTCATCATTTCAAAACAGAGAAAATCTCTGACTGACAAATTTGCTGAAAAAAAAAAAATAGTAATATCAATCCCATGGCACGAATTATAGGAAGAAGGCCATGGGAGCTCCTGCAGGGCCTGCAAGCTCCAGCGGAGGTGGCTGCGAGTGCTTGATCTGCAAGCACAGGAGGATGCATGGGGCACAGACGCCAGGCACGTGGCTGGCAGCTGCCCAGCTCCCCAGAGTACAGCCAGAGCGTAAGCGAGGCCAGGCAGCAATGAATGGAGATCATGGGAGAAAGAAAGAAAGAAAGGAAGAAAGGAAGAAAGGAAGAAAGGAGGAAAGGAGGAAAGGAGGAAAGGAGGAAAGGAAAATCAATAAACTATACAGAAGTGATCAGGCGCATCAGAGCGTCAAGCATGCCCACAGCCACAGATCATAATGAGAACAGATTCTGATCCTGTTTGCATTAGGAAGCACAAAATGAGTAATAAGCTTCTGCCTATCAGTCTACAGACTATTTTTGAAAATGCTGGCCAGCTTCCCCTAACTTAAACAGATATCTCGAATGCATTTCATCCAATTCCACAGTGAACAGCAGAAAGCTCTCAGCGAGACCCAGCCCCAAGGAAGGGTTAGTGGAGTGGGGTCAGTGTTTAACCCTCCTCAGGCACTGTTCTCCACACCCAATCTGCTCACAGCTAGACAATAACAGCGGTGTGCCCTCTTCCAAAACAGCTTTGCTATTGGATAAAAATATAAAAATAAAAAATTACATCCACCATTTCATCTTATGCAGCAAGCAGGAATTCTTTTTTTTATTATTTTTAACATCGGTAATTCTTTCCATTTTTATTATCCACAAGTCCCAGTACCTTCTTACCTACTCAATAAAATAACCTTCCCACATGCTTCTCATATTTCTCTGGCAATGACAAGGCAAGATTGCTATGTTCAGGTAGTATCTCTTACTACAACAAATAAGGTTGGGGGGAAAAGGCACACTGAAGCACAGTCCCTTTCCCAGGTCCCTAGATTGGAGATGATTTCAGCAAATACAGAAAAAAAAAGGACACTTCTTTTGGATGGCTGAAAAGATGCATATTTCATTAAATACAAAGCAACTGCTCCTAGCTGCTGTTCAGTATTCCAGTCTCCAATAATTTAAGATGAAAAAAATATGTTTTGTGTCTGAAAAGTTATCTATTTCTTCAAATAAAATGAATCAGTTTAACTAAAACAACAATTCTTTTGTAAACCTTGCCTTATTCATATCCTCAGATATTGCAGATACAATTGCAGCAATCCAGGCACTGAAGTACTTTGTAACAGTCAACTTTACATTATCAGAAACCATGCTGACTGCAGGAGTACTTAATTAATTAATTAATTAATTAATTAAGGTACCCAGCTTACAAATGTTCTCAGGCGTTTCACACAATGAAGTAGCTGGGCAGGTTCTTAAATTGTGACCTCAAAAAAAGAGTTCTGACCAATTTCTCAGGCTACTTGCGAACAGAATCAGATGTTAAACATGCGTCACGTTTTCACAGAATCATAGAATCATTATGGTTGGAAAAGACCTCTACGATCATCTAGCCCGATCATTCACCTACCACCAATGTTATCCACTAACCCATGTCCCTTAGTACCTCATCTACATGTTTCCATGCCTTGGAGGACAGAAACTCAATCATCTCCCTGGGCAGCCTATTCCAGTGTCTAACCAATCTTTCAGAGAAGTTTTTCCTAATATCCAACCTGAACCTCCCATGGCACAACTTGAGGCTATTGCCTCTCATCCTATCACTCTTAACCTGGACAAGAGACTGATCCCCATCTTGCCACAACCTCCTTTCTGGTAGTTGTAGAGGGCTGTAAGGTCTTCCCTGAGCTTTCTCCTCCCCAGATTAAACAGCCTCAATTACTTCAGACATTCCTTGTAAGATTTGTGCTCCAGACCTCTCACCAGCCTTTCTCTAGACACGCTACAGGGCTTTGTTGTCTTTCCTGTAGTAAGGGGCCCAAAAGTGAACAGACTACTTTTAGGAGTGGCCTCACCAGAGCTGAGCCATCTACCTGCTCCTGCTGGCAACAGTATTTCTGATACAAACCAAGATGCCATTTTCTTTTTGGCCATCTGAGCACATCGCTGTCTCATGTTCAGCTGAGTAACAACCAACGCCCCCAAGTCCTTTTCCTCTACAGTCTTCTACCCATTCTGTGCCAAGTCTGTGGTTGCGGGTTGTGTTGACAGGTTGTGCCCTGTCCTCTTTCACAGGAAAGAATTTTGAATCCTATCTTCCATAGCATAATAAGAGATTAAGATTAGATATTACAATAATGATATAAAATACTGGAACAAGATGCATAAGGAGATTATTGAATTTGTTCTTAAAAGATTTTCAAAATAAAGCAAGATTCCAGCCACATAGATTGCTTGACCATAGCTAATCTTATCAAAGAATAACAAAGAGGTACTGCACATGATGGTTGAGCTAGATGATTAAGGTGGTCTCTTCCAATCCTAATGATTCTATGATTCTCAAGTCATATTTATTTAATCAGACTCCACTATGATGAACATTCATGAACCCCCACAAGTTTATGTAACAAGCAGGAGCTCTTTGTAATATAAACCTTAGGGGAAAAAAAAAAAAAAAAAGCCAACACATAGCAAAAGCTAAAAGCTATTGAAAATTGTATTTGGAAAAATAAATAAATGTAAGAAACTGCATCACTGCATGTAAGACGATATTTTTCATGTACTGATTTCCACAAAGATGTATTGGTGAATACAAATTGCAGCAAAGCTTCAGGAACAGTTTAAAAATGCAAAATTAGTATGTTAATATGAAAGTCAAAAGAAAATGGGTAATTAGTATTCCACTAAGAAAAAGCAGATTTAAATAACCCCAACAATACTTATGTGACTCCCATTAATTACAGACTGCAGAGAAAGTATTCTGTCCCTAATCCATGCACAGCTTATAACTGAAATCTGAAAAATACACCAGAAAATCCACCTACCAACAAGTGCATGCATCTGGAAATTGATTGAACGGAGAGCTCAAACCAGGGATACAGATGCCAAAAACTCACAACACGCCCAAGACAGGTATCTGTGACATTTTATTGCAGTTCAGTGTTTTATACAGAGGCATACAAAGGTATATCAGAGCTGTACAAGCACAAGCATACAAGGGCAGGTTTGGCTGCCTTTCAAGTGCCTTGGATGTCTTCCAGCATCTGCTCCAAAAAATGCAAGTTTCCTGTAGGTTTGTATCATATTTGCCAGATCCAAACACAAATCCTGCAGATTCAGCAAGGTCTAAACTGGTCCTAACTGTCTGCTTTTAATCTGATGGCTTTCTCCCTTCATGTCCTGCCTGGCTGAAGAGTTACGTGATGAAATACGTATGGCTCAAGTTCTCACTGTGTTCAAGCACCTAAAACTGCCAACTGTTCTTAGAATTTACTCTAGCACAAGTGAGTTTCAAGGTCTGATTCAAAGATCTTATTGTCTTGGCAGAAATTTGAAAAAAAAAAAAAAAAAAAAAAAAAGGTATTTCTACTACATCAACAGCAAAGAATCTCTTGCAGAGGTTTTAGTGGGATACTGCCAAGACCAGCATTTGCGGCTGCTGTTCTTTTTCTTCCCTTACATACATGCAGTGGTCTATTTAAGCTAAACTGTATTTACAGCTTCTCCCCACTACTGCTGGAGAATAAAAGCAAAAAGCAAAATATATTTTTAGAATTAAAAAAAAAAAAAAGCAAGAAAAATGTTTAGTGTGTAGTCCAATTAAAATAAATAAATAAATAAAAATAAAAAATCAACTGTCAGTTTCATTCTGTTTCACTGGAGCACACGATATGACTGTGAAACAAGTATTCCCCTGAAGTGTGGACCTGCAATCACTGCCCCAAGAACTCTGCTGAGCAAGGAGAATAATATTGACCAAATGAGTGCATCCAGGTCACAAAGTGTCTCTAATAATCAAGTTGAAAAAAATCATACAGAGCTATTGACCCTATCACAATGTACAGCTGGAGGATTTGGGAACATGTTCACACAATTTAGCTTTGTGAACACTGTCTTTCCTCAAATATATTGGGGTAAAATAGACCTTCCACAGCCAGAACCTATTTATGGGGCTGACTTTGTTAAAAGCTTGATTTTATACAGAATAATATTGATGGCACAATGTGATATCACTGCTGGCTGAGAGGCTCAAGTGCAGCCTAGTGGAACAGTCCACTGAGAACGTGTTAATAATCCACAATGATACGTGGGTTTTTTTAAGCCTTAACACAGATGAACAGGAACCAGAAGAAGAATGTAGCACTGTTGACACTTGCAGCATATCAGGCTTGTGTCATATTTTGGAATCATCAGAGATGCAATAAATGGATTTCAGTGTTTAAAATTCTACACAGAAAAGAAGCATGCAAGCGCTAGCAGTTGCTGTCAATATACTGCAGTAATCATTTCTAAAGCAAGTGGAAAAGGAAGAGAAATGTGCTTAGGAAACAAATCACATCTACTTCCCTCTAACATGGGCTTGAACAACGTTGTACACATTCTGAATGCCATTTTATTTCACATACACACTTTTTCCACTAATATTCACTAGGTATTTATACTATGAAGGAAACTGGTGTATATCTTAGTAGAATAGAGTTTTTCAGCCCTCACAATTCACATGCTACAAGATTCATCAGTCCAGTGTTGTTATTTGGTAGTCAGATTGTTAAAGAGCTATGCATTTTATGGCTGTTTTTTTAAACGCTGTTATACTGAATGCATAATAATGCTTTCTGTTTTTGAAAACAAGCAAACCACATACTTAAACCTAACAGAACCAATACAGTTAATTTTTGTCATGCTACTGACTGCATTTTCATTTTAAGAGATTCATCTTCAGTCATTATACAGGAAAAAGAGTAAGATTTTAACCAACCTTTCTATAAGACAAAGAACATCTAGATTACAAGCAGTGAACGTCCTTATTTTTAAGTCTGTACACAGCAATCATTAGCAAGTATAAATAAAATTAAAATCTTAATTTTAAAATCTAATTTTGTTTTAAAATATAGCAATACCGAGTTAAACTTCAAGATACTGGCTCAGCTTTAGTTACACTGGCACAAAGTAACTGCTGCAAAGTAATCACAATATCATAAAATCTACAGAAATGAAATAAAAAAACTCTCTGTAAGCAATACACATTAGTTTTCCACATTTTCCACCATTACACTGCCTCTTCATCAAAGCTCTTCCACATCATCTCACAACATGGGGAATGCAAATGAGAAATAAAAAAAAAAAAAAGACAAACACGGAAATGAGGAATTTGACACAGAGATCAATTTTGTTTTTCCACATGCAGATGATTATGGGGCTCTCTGACTAACAACCCATTGACAGCAGACATGCAGAGCATGCAGGCAGGATGTACGGATCAGGGTGTGCACTTTTCCTCTGCAGGGGAATCATGGAGATGACAGCACAGAAGAGAAAAGGCACTTACAGTTGTTCTAGAGAGGCAAGTCCTTTAAATGCTTGCCTGTCAATTGACTGGATTTCATTCTTGTACAAATAGCTGAAACAAGAAACAATCAGTAATATTAGTACACAAACAGGAGCTACATAAAGGTGGGAAAGAAGAATTAAGTTGACACATGAAGACAGTCTTTTCACTACATATTAGGAAAAAAAATACAAAACAAAAACTAAACACATACACATAAAAATACTTTGCCTTTGAGAATTCATCCCAAATGTTTACCTAGAAAATCAAGTTATGGGGCCTTGCAGGCTATCACCTGGCTGATCTTTGGCTTCTCCGTTCTCACTGTTATGACTTATTGCTTCTCTGCCCCTCATTTTCTTGATGGGCTTGTCAAAAATCAAAATAAATTCATCTTAATGGGACAAGATTGTGTCAGTTCCTTTTCTGGAATACAGCACGCCTCTTATTTTATTAAAATATCTCATGTGAATACTGGTACAAATATTTGTATTGTGACATAATTTGACTTTTGAATGGACTTCAAGAACAAACACTGATATAAAGCCATCTGTGTCACCTTTTTAATATTTACCAAAAAAATGTACAAGTCAGAGTATTGATACTGCATCAATAAAATAGCATTGTTTATTTGTTTTATCCCATACAGAAGATGGACGTTAGGTCCCCATTCATAATACAAACAGAATAAACATATGCAGAGTACCAGTATGTTCACAAGTGCTTTCTCTACCTTTTCCACAGAGCTAAAATACCTGGTTCTGGATGGATTGGTGCATGTGCTCAAGTCTATTATCATCAAGCTTTTAATATTTACGATGGTTTAGTGAGAGAATGTTTCAGAAAAATCATACAGTTAGCTGATAACTGTAGTTTATGGGTTCAATGTCAGCCAGTCTGTTTTTAGGCTGGGTTAGGAACAGATTCACAGTAAGAACTGTCATAATTATTTGACAAAAGCTTTGAAACTGAGTTAATCAGGCATGGATGTCTGTGAAAAAAAGGGTGAAGAGATTTGGAATCAAAATTGGCTTTATTAGCTTTATTAGTAGTGTTTTTGACTTTTTTTTTTTTTTATTGTTACAGCCTCCATTAACTTACTGCAGAGATCTTTTGAGGCAAAAGATAAAATATTTTCCCTGCTGGAACTAGTGGCAGCTTTTAAACTGACTTGACAAAGGCTAACACTTTACAACAGGCCTCAAGAGGAGAAGTTGTAGGCATCATGACAACTTTGGGGAACAGCATGAAGTAATGTCTTTTCCTTGAATCTAAAGTTTTCCAATAAATCAGTTGCCAAGATCTGAACACAACAATATATATAGACTTTTAACAAAAATATGCTTCTAAACAAAATGTGCAGCACCTCCAATGACAGAATAACTAAAAAGCAGAGAAGTTGTGAGGCTTTTAAAATGTTCAAAAGACTGCATAAATTAAACCATAAAAAATAATACGGTCATATGAAATACCTGTAAAGACCTGGAAATTCATGTAAAAAAAGAGAGAACAGGTGTATTATGCTTATTTTGCATAATAGTGCATAGTCTTTATGCCTTTACTAGTCTTTATCTCCTCACTTTTCCTGTCTGAATGGTAAAAATTCCTACCTTTTTCTATAGTGACAATTTTAAATACATCATTTCCTCTTACTCCTTAGAAAATTTGCAAGACTGAACAGTCAAGGCACTGCCTTTCTTAACATGTCCTGCTCAGGAGTTTGGAAGTTTCTCTTATTCCTCTGAGTGCAAACATTCTGATTTGACCCAGGAATGACAGTGGCTTCAGATACCTTTAATAATCAATCGAAGAAATAATTTCTATTAGAATCCTTGCTAAAATTTCTATTTATTTATTTTTCTGGAGACCAAGTAAAGCAGAGTGAAGAATGCAAGTGGATGACTGGGAAAATGACTGTGGTTTTTCAGACATTTACTACCACACTGTCAAGAATGGAGTAGCCTTTTTTTTTTTTTCCTCCTATGTTCAACTTTAAACTACATTTTTCTCCATGTTGATCTGAATGCAGGACAGTCAAGTGACCTCAGTCCACCATTTTCCCCATCCAGAGAGAAACCCCAGCAAACTCAAAGTTACAAAAAGGTATGCATGTAGTATGACAGACATGACAGCCACACATTTACTTAGCCATATGGATGTTTCCCTAAGGTTATTAACAGAAAGGCAAAAAAATATACTCACCTAATGAGAAGAGAACAGAAAATACACTTAGAAAAAATATTTGTGTTTCTAAAAGGCTGCTTTGCCTAACCTTTGCCTAACCTTTAATATCTGTCTATCTATCATTCAGTCACATTAGCAGAAAAGTGATTTAAAGTAAAATTATGGACAAAGTAGTTAATCACTCTACCTTAAAGCTCTATTAACACAACTACATCACTGGAATTCTTCAAAGGATGAATAAACAGTGGATTAAGATGACAAGGTGACACATTATAGTCAGATATTAGATTACTTTCTGAAAATTATTCCTGTTTTCAGAAGAGTTCACAAAAACAACACTTGCCAGAAATGCAAGTAAGGCTGACAATGTTACTGATCACACACTTTGGAAATGAACAAATAGGTAATCAGTTCTCAGAAAATCAGAAAGAAATAGTTTCAAATCAAAGATTCTGTTACGCTCCTTATGAAAGTTGTGTTTTGTGTGTTTTTTTTTAAATGAATTGTATAAAAAGTCATGTGATAAAATGAAATTCAGATTCACATATATTTCTTTGGGACAGGAGGAAAAAGAGAAGGTATTGACAGTATCAGATACCATGGAGTAAAACTGAGAAGTAAATAAAAACAGCAGAGAGATTAATATAGAAATATAAAGAAGGTTGTTGGTGGAATTACCAAAATGAGACACAGAGAAATGAGATCAGTAATCACTTGTGGCATTCAAAGGAAAAAGTGATATGACCATGATAGCAACAATGATAGCAGAAGGCACAGAAGAAAACGTGACATAATCTGATACTGGGAAAGGTGAGATCAGCGATTCTGCAGTTTGGCAAACCTACAACACCTCTTCTACCACTATGGCTTCATTCACCAATTGCAAAGCAAATATTGATCGTTCCTTCTACATATTTTCAGAACTGATACATTCCATACAGTCTCAATTCCCACAATCCCTAATATCTGATTCCTGATCTTTCCATTTCTCATTAAGTAAACGTGCCTCAATGATTTACTAAATTTTTATTTTCCATTTTAATGTACATAGTTTCCTTCACACTAGCTTATATCTTACTGCTTTGTAAATATAAAGTACCTTCTCTTTTTTCTGAAAAGTTCTTTGCAATTGCTAGACTATATTTTATATTTTTCCATATATCTTCCTCAAACTCCCTTTCTTTTTATCTTAAGCTCACTTTCAACACTACTGCTTCCACATCCTACAGCTTCAAAGTGCAATACATCTCCATCTTCAATTCCCAATTATTTTCTATCTTGGAGAAGAAACAATTCAGGATCAAGAACAATCTAACAGCTTCCACAAGCTCACCAACAGCTATACTGCAAGACTGAGAAGCTTTTCTGTCTTCTCTTTCAGTAATAACTGAGTAACTCCATTAACTGAATAAGCAAAAAGTAAATTGAAAATCTCCCAGAAAGTCAATAAAATATATTCAGTTTACCACAAGTATCTCATATGAGCAGCAACAAATTTCAAAAATATTACCAACTATTTTGCTCATATTAATACAACTCTCTAAAAGTTTATTGTAGCCAGCAGCATTCCCCCTTTACAAAACGGGTAGAGTAAGATCAAAACACTACACATCATTACTTAAGTGCAAAAGAAACTGTGTTACGGATGAGGTCCTATCTACTATTGCTTTTTTCATCCTTTCAAAAGAACCAGATTGCCAATACTAAGGTGCAAGAAATCAGAAAGAAAGAAAGAAAAGCAGAAAGAAGATGTATCCTTTCGGTTTCACAGCAAAAAGCTGCTAACATCTAAAACCTTCTGATTTATGTATGGATTCAGACCACTTATTACCGCAAGCAGCATAAGACCATATAAAAATTTTGCATGTAGTACTGCAAAATATGTTTATAGATTTGTCATTATTTTGATTACAGAAAGAACAACAACAATAAAAATCTAAAAAATAAGCTTCCTAAACTGTATGTGCAATTTTCTTTTTATAATTTAGGGATCAGCTTTTACAACGATTAGTATTTTTAATGCATAGAAAGCTGAGAAAATGCCACTGTCTGTTAAAATGTTTTCCTACTGACCGATAATTCTGAAAACAGGTGCACCTCCTAAAACTATGAACTCAATTTCATAAATGAATAGTGCAAAAAGGCATTTGAAAATGCAGGGGCTTCTTCGAGAATTCTCCAAAAAAAGTCTAAAAAAGAAAAGTCAGTGAGAAACAAAAGCCTAAATTTTCAAAATTATTCATCACCTAGCACAACACCATGGGCTAATAAACTCATTTCATCAAAAAGGATGATGAAATGAGTTTATTAGAAGAAGAAAAGTTACATTCACATTATCTATAGGATCAGGCCATCCAAAGCCAGTTATTCTGGATGATTTTACTGTACAGTACTAGATTCTGAACAATGTTTTTATCTTTTTAAGAGCAATATAGTCTCTCCCTCTAATTTCTACTCCTGTACATTCCATTGTGAAAAAAAAATATTTCCTTTGTTCCATAGAATACACTTCACAAGGGCTTAATGAACTGAACTTTTCACAGCTAAACTGTATTTATTTGGTATATTTCAGCTTTCTTGTGCTGGTATTTGAACATTTTATAAATGTTATGGCTGTACAATTCTGTAGAATATTTATATCAATTCATCAAAATAGGCAAAAAATCTTCTTAAATACTTTAGCAAAATGGACAGTGGTTTTACAGAATTGAATACCACGTTTAACTTCATATTCAGATTTTACTGGAAGAAGAAAAGATCTCCACTTAAAAACATAGATATTGTATTAACAGACATTAATGCACAGGAAACACACAATAACTCAGGTAACTCTGCTCAGTCTTTTATATCCATTTTATCTCAGATTTACTGCAGCTTTGCAGAAGCAAGGGTATGTAAATAAAGAGCTAATAAGATCTGAGTAATATTTCTGCAAAGCTGCTGACAACCAAAAGAAACATTTTGAATTAAGAGACCTTAAGTACTCCACTTATATTTTGTATCTCAGGTTTCAAAGCACCAGATTCATTACACAAACATGTTTTGTAAAAAATATTGCCAACAAATCATCATGGACTTTCGTAATTTATGGAGATAGTTTGTTCAATATTATTTTTTTCTCTATTTCTATAGAGAGTAAACAATTTTATTGTGGAATGACAAGACGTGAAAAATAACACTAAGAAATGTGATCAAATGCAGCTCTGAAAACCAAACAATGTGCCTGCACAAATTTATGTGACTTTCATTTTTCTGCCTTCTCCCAAATCCCTAGGTTGCACTTTTAACTATATGAAAAATTAAATTCCTGTGTTGTTTCTAAAATATTGAAATGTTAAAGCAATCGGCACTATAATAAAGGCCATAACCCAAGGCAGTGGAGTGATACTTTTCCTTATGACACTACAATACCTATGTTCCATATAGTAAACAGTAACTGGAAAACCCTTCAAAATCCACTGACTACAAGCATATATTGAAATCCTGTATTAGGAAATCACAAACCACCAACTTACAGAAAGATTCACAGTTGTCTCCAATCCACAAACAAATTTCAATCTTATTCAAAGCAGCTTATCACGTGAGATAGCAAGTCAGATGAAAATTCGATCTCAGATTAAAACACTTTCTCATTGAAGACACTCAGTTATATATTGATAAAAAAAAAAAAAAGTGACATTCATTTAACTTACAGATATTTCAGATTTTCGAGGTCTTCAAATGCCCCACTAGGTATTCTTTTAATTTGATTGTTGTTTAGAAGCCTATAAAAATAAATAAACATATGTTTATTTTAATATACAAGAACAGTAAAAACAAAATGTATAATAGCAGGTGTAAATGCAGCGCGTAAACTGAAAAAGCAAAACAAAAGTCTTTTTTGATACCAGTAACTTTGAAGAAAAAAAGCTGCCTTGCACTGCCACTGCCTTAGAAGAGGAACATGTGGAAAAATTAAACAGAATTAAAAAAAATAAAATCTATAAACTGGAACAGGCTTTCTTTTTGTAGATGAAGGAAAAATTCCTGGTGCCACAACTACACAGAGGGTCTTACACAGAGTGGAAACATCTTGGTAGAACAGTTTTGGGGGAAATATTTTATTTTTTTTCCTCCGGGCGTGAATATACAATGCAATATTTACTGATAACATGCTTTCAGAACAAATAGAAAATAACAATCCAGAGTTAACTGATACCACTCTATTCTATTTGAGATCACACATTTCCATAATATAATTCAAATTTGTAATTCTAAATAACTGTCCATGTGAGTTCCACCTTTTGGCTGCTAATATATTAGAGAACAGAAACTGTTTGCATTATGGGTGTGTAAAAATGCTGTTTACAATACATGGTCTTCACTTTACATAGCATATGTGCTCACAGAAATATCAATAAAAGCTAGCTCAGTAGGAAATATATTATCCAAATTCTGCCTTCAAGGCTACCACTTTGAAGAGGAATGCTCAAAACTTACGAAACAGAGATTGCCAAACATTTTTTAACTGAAGCATGTTCGAACACCTGAATATTTGAACAGGTTTGTTGTGACTACATGATTTAATGTGTGATATTACACTTAACCTTTCAGCAAAATTTGGAAGAAATATATATAGAAGTAAACTTTTACATTTTTCATAGGTGCAGTTAAATAGAGAAAAAATTAGGATGTCAGTAATTTTGTTTTTTGTTGTTGTTGTTGTTGTTTTTTTTCTATTTCAGTTGACAAATACCAGGTTTTGCTTTCATATACTTTGGACCTAAACCTTGCTTCCTTCACCTGTGTAAATACTACAGCTAAAATTTATGAGACTATTTATCTGAGAAAAGTTAACAAATTCGGCATACTATAGAGTTCATCATATTAAATCAAAAGGGAAAAGTTGAAAAATAACTTACAGTGTATTCAAGTTTTTAAGCCGTCTAAATTCTCCAGGCTGGATTTCTTTAATCCTATTAAATCTTAGATCTCTGTAGAAAAATAAATAAATACATTATTAGGAACAAAACAAATAGAAATGAACTATTTTTTGTATGAAAAACTGAACTAAGCACAAGTTTCCGGGACCACTGCAACCGTCCTCCATCCACAAACCTTTGGAGGAAGGGAGAAGCAAAACAATTCCACATTGTTAGGAAGAGGATTCTCCAAATGCAGCCTTGGTTGTCAATGCTGAAGGCTGCATCTAGGCTCACTGTGTGTTCATGAAGTATGTTCCCTTCCATAATGAAGGACCTTGTAATAGGCGATGGATGTTCAATTCTGCTACAGATGAGAGAGAGACTCGAAGAAGAGATAAGGATTGGAGGAGAGGGGATGGTAGTCAGCCTGTTCTTTGTCCTGCCATTATGCTCCCTAATAAGTCACTGCTCATCTTTCTTGCTTCAAATAAACATTTTAATTTTCAAGTAAAATAATCAAAAGAGCAAAAATTCAATATTGCTGAACTGAATGTTGAATACTGAATATTTTCCAAAAGACTCAAAACAAGCTCCTAAAGAAGAGGAAACTTAAAATTTTGTTATATTTCTTAAAAAAAGGTCTACAATTAAAACCCAATGTTTATCCAAACTAAGCACTGCTAGAATGCAGAATGTCTTTTTAAAGATAATAGATGTCTAAAATTCATCCACATGGAAAGCAAGTCTACTCCCTGCAGTGTAGGGAACAGACTTATAAGTAAGCACTTAACTTCCATGAATGTAACAGACCCCATCCTCCATGTCAGCATTAAAACAAGTACAATTTTGATGTGTCAAATCCATTCTACAGTATTTCACTATGCTATCTCTGGAGTAGCAACATCAAGCAAAATAATTCATATAGTGTGCATCCCAAATCCTGACAATATTTGCCTTCTGATATTAACCTGTTGAGGTTAAATAATGTTTTAAGTCATAACTATTTGCTTTCATTCTGCATAAAGGCATTCATGCAGCCGTAACAAAATGCCGCACCCAAATTTTCACTAGAGTCCAATGAACTTGGTAACAGAAACTATCTGTAAGTAAAATACTTCACAGAAAGCTATGATGACAAAAATACATTCTTATAAAGATTAATTATGTTTTGTTTAAAATTAATATTACAGCTACACTAAAACTGGAAGAAAAGAAAAATCCAGCAAATCAATGTTAATGTGACTAAATTTGAGAACTAAGATTTTGATACATTCCTCCAAATGAGAGGTCTTCCTTCAGAGGAAGTAACACCTCTTATTGCTGAATTGTTTTCATTAAGTTTTCATCACAAAATTCTCTACAATAAAGAATGAAGCAGATTGCAAACTGTTCAAAATAGCTCCTGCTCAACCATTTCAACCATGCCATCACCTTCCTAGTTACTCTCAAAAGTTTGCTCCCTGTCTATTCACTTCTCTTTCACCCTCATTCTCTTTCACCCTCGCCCTTCACCCCCACTTCTCTTTTCACCCTCATACAAACCAACCATATCCCCACTGCGTGCTGTGCTCCAGGCCTCCACAATCCTGACAGCCACCAACTTGCCATGTGGCATCAGCAGGCAGAAGCCGCAGCCCCAAGCAGCCCACCTCCATTTTTACTATCATTTTTTTCACCTTCCTCATCAGTTACCATTTATCAGTGAAATAAGAAAAAAAAAAAAAAAAAAAAAAAAAAAAAAGCAATAAATGGAGCAACCAATAAAAATTATGCCCTTGCAATGGCAGCATGGGATTTTAGGATATTACAGTAGTTTTCAGATAAAAATCCAAAAGTGATTGTCATGCTTTGAGTTCTTCAGACAAACCTAATATACCTAGCTCCTAATTCACATTTTGTCTTTAACTATGAAGTTCACAGTGAAAACATTTACTACTTTCAAATTTGACCTAGATCTGACACAAAAGTACATTCAGGGAAAAGCCTGCTACTGCAACTTTCTGTATGGAATTCTCTGGGGTTGTGGTCCTCTTCTTAAGCTTCTTTCTTCAGGCTAGTTCTCCCTAAGTGCTTTGCTAATATTATCTCTCAGCTCTCAGTCACAAACAGCATCTCAACTACTCACGGTAAGCCGGTAAGCCGCCTACTCCCAGGATTACTTTCCTGGCCCTGTATCAACTGCTCCGTGCTAACTTGTGGAGCACAAGCAGGAAACATTTGAGTGAGCGAGAGGCCGTGGGGCCAAGAATGGAGCACACTGCACATCTGACACTTGGGACACCCGGGAGGCACACTCCTGTGCACTGCCTCAGGCACACAGCAGCGTGCAGCAAAGCTGGTGTGTGGGTTTTGTCATGCAGGTCTGGTTGTACAGACCTACAACTAACCACAAAATCAGAAGCCCTACATAAACAATTGGTTTCATGTGACAAAATAGTGAATATTCTGTGTCTAATTTGTTGAACTATCTGAAATGATGCCTCTCATTTATAGTTTGTGATATGTAAAATTTTAACTCAAAGTATTTGTTTTCCTTTTTGTGACAAAGAGTTCCTGTTAACAAGCTGGTCTGCAGACCTTTTCGTCTGGATGGAAATTATTAACTTTGCTCCTCGTAAATCACCCGTTTGAACTAAACACATCCATTAGTCCCTTCACTTCTAAGGGAAATCCATTCTTAACAATAAGAAGAAATTAGCAAATCTAGAATAATTTTTAACAATACTTCTAATTGAACAAAGAGAAAGCTTCTGTATGTATAAATGATAAAGAATATTATGCAGATCTTAATCCCATATACAATCTAATTTTCTTGTGGCAGCACTCAGAACTCCACAATGCCTTGTTTTAGTTTGCTGTGGCAGTGTTCAGCAAAAAAAAGTTTGAGACCTCTTAACATACTCTGATGTGAAAAGCAACAGTTGGGCACATAAATGCAATGTAAGTTTAAAAAAGCATTCTGTAAGATAAAGCAATATATACCAAAAGGCATGAATGAATACTTAAGAGTATGAATATCACAGAGTAGGATATACAGTGAGCTATACAGCTTTCAAATACATTGAACCTGAACATCCAGCAATTTACTGACACAGGCTGCCCAGTGAGGTTGTGGGTGCTTCCAACCCTGGAGGCATTCAAAGCCCTGTCGCACAAGGCTGTGAGCAACCTGGTCTAGAGGGAGGTGTCCCTGCCTATAGCAGGGGGTTTGAAACTTGATGATCTTAAAGGTCCCTTTCAACCCAAATCATTCTGTGATCCTTTTAATCAATTGTAATACACCATCATTTTGCCTAATTTTTTCTTGTCCAAGAATGAAAATACCTACTTTTTGACTTAATATAATTGGAAGCAATCAACAGTGCAAACTAAATGCTGTTTTACAATAACATATGTTAATCTTGCTCTGGAGGACTGTTTTTTCCCGTGTACTGCTCTCATTATAATGAAGTATAAATCAGATACATACCCTCATAGTAAAAAGCATTACATGGTAACAAAAAAATTCCCCCAAAAACATGACTACCAAATTTCATCAGAAACAGCATCTGTCAAAACAGAATACAAGTGCCTCAAATTTACCACTGGGAAAATAGAGCAGCACGCTTAAATCCAGATTTGGATCAGCATTTATATTGGCCTGTCATACTAAAAGCAGCTGATTTCAGAGCTTTGTTTGTAAATATTTGAATTTGGGGGGGAGGGGGAACAGTTTGGATGAAACAATCATATCACACGCTGATGCTTGAAATGCACTGCTGACATATTAATGACTTCATTATATTGATTAAAAAGAAAATACTGCAATATTTACAAATGAAATCTAACTCTAAAACTTCATTATCAGCGAATGAAAGTACCTCACTGTGCCATTTCACAAGCTAAATACAGTATTTCAGCATCAACATAAAAATTATTAAATTCAATTACGTCTTAAATCAGATTGATTTCCTGAGTTCAAAAGAAACAAAATCACCGCAGCAGCAATCTAGAAATATGTGGGATGATGCTACTGTCCTAAGTATCCTAAAAACTGAAAGTTCTAAAATATGAAATTTGGACCATAAAAGTATAAGCCATATATCAAAATCCTACCACAAAGGTAGACACTTAAAATCTTCACTGAAAACTACTTATTTAAGTAGTTTTCCTCTAAAACTGATGGTAAACTGTACAGTAACATAATATTTATCAGTTTAATATGGTGAATTAAAAGGAAACAATGGCTTTGGTTTGATAAGAATCAGCAGGAATAATGCAAAATGCTTCCAAATGATGATGTTCTCTCTGAAACTGAGAGATATAAAAAGTCTGAAGGAGATCCAGATGTTAAAGACGACATATTATTTTTATCTGCATGATATACCTTGAATCACGAGAAAAGTGCATGCCTGTTAATTTATTTTCCCTTTAAAGAAAGAGAAATGTAAGAAATGATGAATAAATATCAGTAGATCTACTGGATTTAATAGGTTTTATTAATAATCTATTTTAAAGAATGACCATTACATGGACCACTTGTTTACCTCTCTTCAGATGTTCTAAAAAACTATGAATCGTCATACGTGTATCACTTTGCTACCAGCACATTCAAAAGAATGAAATAAGAGAAATGCATTAATTTTTTCCAATGGCTGAAGATTAATTACAACCCAGCAGAAATAACCTATACCATAAATGCCAAACTACTATGTTTCTCAACAGAGAACAAAAGAACTGCAAATGCCAGCAAGACTATATTGCTTATGTCTACTTTATTCTTATTCTTTTTTTATTCAAGGTCATCCCAGCAGGAAATGAAAAACAGCCATCAGCATAGTAAAAACATTCAAACAGAGCAGAGCATGAAAATTGCACAAAAGAGGTTATATAATCAAGTCAGGGCAGTAACTGGATGATGTCAATGGCACTTTAATGCTGCTTTAACTACTGCCCTGTAAAAAAAAAAAGTGTCACTTTGTTGAACAAACAAAGAAAAGTCCACCACTTTAAAAAAAATAAAACCAAAACCCACTTTCAGCTGTTGCACTACTTATATTAATCCTCACTACTAGCAGCATGACATTTTC